TTACTGCTGCCACATTCCTAAGAGTGAAATTCTGATACAACTTAAACATTCAGCAAATGGTTAGGTAAATGTTACACTGAGCCATATTATGAAAGGATTTTTTACAGAGGTAGATTTGTATGTGCTCATATAGAAGACTGTTCCAGATATATTGTCAAGTATACATACAATTTTATTAGCATTGCAATGCTAATGAAGTATGAATCTTGATTTACAAACTTAGATATGCAAGAAATGTAACTTTTAAAAAATAATAAACTTTCTGTTTTAACCTTACTTTTATGTGGTAATAGAAAATTAATTTCTGATATTGCATTTGAGTTCCAGGAAGGTTTATTTCGGCCAAGTTGTGGGTGAAAAGACAGCTCATCCCTGGTTTTGTCCTCTATCAGTTACTGGTATCCTAGGATCCATTCTTAACCTGTCTGGCCACCCATCTTCGGATCATGCCAATCATTTCTGTGTCTTTCCCTTCCTTAGTCTGTTCTCCCAGCTACTCCCATGCCCTTCCCATGAGTCATTCCATACATGCTAGGCTGTAGGAAATTCTGAGAGACTCTCCAAAGTCCAGTGGGTCTTATGTATCCATACAAGCAGTGTGTATTGGAGATTGTCTTAAGTCACAGGGAAAGTGGTAGAAAACTCACCCTTGTCATTGCCAGAAAGAGTGATTTATGGCTTTGTTCTTTTCCTAAGTTCCCAATTTGGCTTCATACTATTTCTTGTGTGGGCTTTTATTCCTGAATCTTGGCTAAACTCCTTAGGCTTAACCTATTGGCCTCAAAACAAAACAAAACAAAACAAAAAACAAAAACAAAAAACCCAAAACCTATTGGCCTCAAAAATATTGGGCAGTTGCATTTTCTGTCTATGTCCTCATTACTATAGTAATTGGTTATATACTCTTATTTGTAATAAACATGATGAGTACCCCTCCACTCAATGCCATTCATACAATCATAGGTACTATACTAAAAATCAACAGTAGAAGAAATACAAGAAGAGACCATCCCAGCATTAAGAAATATTGTTATTAGTGGGGCACCTGGGTGGCTCAGTCGGTTAAGCATCCAACTCTTGATTTCTGCTCAGGCCCTGATCTCAGGGTTGTGAGATCAAACCCTGCGTCCAGCTCCATGCTGGTATGGAGCCTGCTTAAGATTCTCTCCCTTTCCCTCTGCCCCTACCCCCTCTAAAAAAAAAAGAGAGACGGGGCGCCTGAGTGGCTCAGCTGGTTAAGCAATTGCCTTCGGCTCAGGTCATGATCCTGGAGTCCCGGGATCGAGTCCCGCATCGGGCTCCCTGCTCAGCGGGGAGTCTGCTCCTCCCTCTGACCCTCCCCCCTCTCATGCTCTCTCTCTCATTCTTTCTCTCAAATAAATAAAATCTTTAAAAAAAAAGAGAGAGAGAGAAGAAAGAAGTATTACTACTAGTAAAGTAAACCAAATGTTCTTTCTTGCAGTCAAAGAACTTTATGCCAAAAACTAAATTGTATATAGACTAACACCAAGCATTTATTATAAATTTTTGATATAACCCTGACCATAATTTCGACTATCTTTTTTATTAACACCTGATATTGAAATGTAAAAAAAGCAAGTTGAACTTCTCTTAGATTAAGTTTTTTAATTTTATAAATGTTCTCAAATATTAGTTATTAATAGACAATAAATAAAATACTGTATTACTATAAAAAGCTAGCTACCCCCATTGACATTTCTTTTCCTCCCAGGACTTGCCACCACCCCTGCCTGAGCATCTACCTAGAAAGCAGGCACAACGTCTCTACCTTCAAATTCCCTAAGCCTGCTTTTGTCCTGTCACTTTACTACCAAGTTCACTTGAGTTGGGGAGGCAGGACAGAAGACCTTCTTTCTCAGGACCCCACAAGGAAAGCTGTCTTATACAGTTTTGTAGTTTGAACACTCTAGAGAGATACTTGCTGTGGCATGAATAGGACTGAAATCTAGAAAGGCAAGACCCTTGGCATGGGGCCAAGGCTGCTGGAAGAAGGAAGGGCTTTTGTCTTTGTACAAAGGTGTTGCCAGATGTCTAAGCCACTGCCCCTAGGAAGGATCTACTCAACAAGGCACCTTATTGTAATTCATTCACCAAAATGTGCCCTTTTTCTAATTTTCAGAGAGAAGCAGCATAAGTTGCCAGAGGTCCTTTCTTCCTAAATCTCTCTCTTCTCCCAAGAGCTGAAATCTTTTGTTATCTACTCTTAAAAGCTCTAAGGCCTCTTCTGACTTATCATATATTCTTCCAAATCTCTTTTTATTCCCTGTGTCTTTCTCTTCCCTCAAGGACTAGAAACTCAAAATTAGAAACTCAAAAGTTCTTGACTTCCTTTTTTTAATGTATTCAGTTGGGTTATCTTTTCCTGAGGCAGTGAAGGCCGAATGTGCTAGCTGATGGAATGGGTGAAAGGCCAGGACCACCAGGAAATGCAGTGGAAAGAAAACCCCTCAGTTAATATTTCAAAATGTCATCTGCCATTGTGTGTGCATAGACTAGTTCTGGACGGCTACACACTTGTCTAAACTGTTAGCAGTAATTCCTCTCAGGAATGAAATTTGGAGATGAGACCCATATTTTTTGCTATGTAAATTTCTGCATTTGCAGTGTTTTTACAGGAGCTTATGTGACTTCTGCACATTTTTTTTGAAAGGCAAACTTTTTTAAAACCGGAGGAAAAAGGCTCCAGTGTACTTTCAGTGATGGTATTCAGAATGACAATTTGTTTGTTCTTGCTTCTCATGAGTGTTTTGCAGTACATCCACCTCTCTATGTCAGAGTAAACTATTTTTAAGTTCTTACATACTGTTTGTAATTCTCACATTAATGTGAGTTGCGGAAATGGCAGTACTAATCGATGGAAATAACATGGACTAAAATGTACATAATTTACATAATTCAGTATGATTTACTTCCCAGGTCCCACAATGGAATGCCAATTTCCCATTTCCTTTTTGCAGATGAGGAAGGGCCAGTACTTAACAGATAACAAGAGTAAGTCCCAAAGGGTGGCCCAAAGGAACAGAGCTGAGAGAGCTGGGACCAAAGCTCTAGTCCCCTAGATTCCAATCCAATGTTATTTCTATTACAGAATGTGCTTTCTCAGTTTGGGCTACTTCTTTCCTTTAGTGACATAGAGAGAATGGTGAGCAGAGGCGGATTTACAGGAATGAGGTTTAAGCTTTAAGCGCCTAGTTTGCGTGGGCCTTTTCTGAGGTCCTGGGAGGGCCACAGCATTAGGTTCATATGGGCACATGATTTTGTAAAATGTGCACAGTAATTTTTTTTTTAACAGCAATTGGTTAAGGCCACTGTCTCTTTCCTCTCCAGGTTCCCCTCATGCTAGGTGGTACTCGGTAGCCTTGTACCTTTTGAGGATATGAGTTAAGGAGCAGTTGATTAAGTTGGGATACACACAATTTCAGTACATTGTCATTTATATGGTTCACAGTTAAGTTCCATGAAAATTATTGACAGCTAGCTATCCCAGTGTAGGGACAGATTCTAAGAATACCCTTACTGCCCATTGTGTCAATTCTCCTGGTTTCTTGACACAAAGGTGCAGAGCCAGAGGCTGATTATTACATGACAGCATATGGTGGTGGAGGTAGGAATTACAGAGCCAGAAACTAATCTGTAGAAAATTCTTCCAATCATCAAGTGCATAAAATTTTAACAGAGGGTTTTGTTCCCATCAAGATCTAATCAAAACAAATGCTTTCTCCTCTCAGGAATATATTTGAGAATACAGTATATACAATTATAAAAGCTCCACACTTTTCATAGTTTATGGTAGTTGTTGAAACAGAATATTTCAGAATTGCTAGGTTTGAAGGGAAGAAACCTGTAACTATACTAAAAATAGAGCAGGTCTGTAACAGTTCAACAGCATGACAAGAGGTTTTCCCCAATTGACAACAGTTGACAGCAGTTTGCATGTCATTACAAATAATGATGGCATTAAAGTTTTATAAACTAAAAATAATTTTTTAAAACATTCAATCAACACTAGAGCAAATTATCTTTCTATTCTGTCTACAGGACATAAAATTGATTCTTAGTAAAGAAGTAGTCAAAAAAAAAAAGCAGTCAGACTACACAGCCAAAACAATATTCTAAGTATTATAGAAGTGTGGCAGACAAATAATTGATTTAAAATTGCTCTTTCTGGGCTTTTTTTTAAGTTTTATTTATTTAAGTAATCTCTACACCCAACATGGGGCTTGCACTCACAAGCCCAAGATCAAGAGTCATATGCTCTTCTGACTGAGCCAGCCAGACACCCTTACTCTTTTTAGATTTTTGTTTTGCATTTGTGACTTTGTGACCTTTTATAAACATATAATTTGTGTGATCTTTTTGTACCTGATTTCATACTTTTTTTTTTTTGAAAGAAAGCCCCTCTGCGTATGCTTCAGAAAGCTATTAAACTCAGATTCACCACTGATGGTGAACATAGTTTTAGATTTTCTTTTGATGCTTGCCTCTAGCAGCTTCGTTAATCCCTGCATTTTACTGAGTTCCCATCCCACTTCTTTCTAATTCTCTCCCTCATCCTTGAAGGTAACATGCACAGAAGCCTTCCCAAGATACCTAGTTAGAATTAATTGTTCTTTGTTTCAATTTCCATAGCAGCCAGTATTTAATCTCTGTCATCATACTTACCAGAACCTGCTCTGGATTAATTTATTCATCAAATATAACTTGAGGACCAATTATATGCTAGGTTCTGTGCTGGGTCTCAGTACCTCCCTTAGACCAGGATTTGCACAGGTCCCTGTATTTTAGAAGGCCGTCCAGCCACTCCCCTCCAAATGGGCAAAAGGTCTGCAAGGCGAAGGGGGCGTGCTCATCCAGAACCCTGATCTCCTTCCCTAGATCATGTCTCAGGTACCCGGGACTCCAGAATTCCTAGCTTAAATCCAGAGTCCACTTCTGTGTGGGCTTCTTCCACTGGCCCTTCCTCCAGAGGGCCAACTTACCTCTGGGATGCTCACTCCAAGGGCCAAGGAGAAGCTGCTATTGAAGTGGGAGAAAGAATGCACAGAGCTTGGGTATAAAGCTGGTGTGTCCATACACATGCATGTCATCTCACAAAGGTAGGAGCTGTAACGGGAAAAGAAAGGAGCAAGCTAGTAGCTCCATTTGTATTCATGCCCGGGACCCTACAAATGTCAATTATGGCCCTGCTAAGACTGTAGTTGAATGTCTATATCTTGTTTTTATCCCAGAGATTCCTAAACTGTCTCTGTAAGTTTTTTTCATGGTATAACTAGGACAAAAGAAACAGTTCCACTTATTAAATAATTAGGTCCAAACAACTTACTAGTAATAATTCACACTGTGTCTGACAGATGTCATATTGTTTCCCTCAAAAATGTCAAGTATCCTGTAGCTACCTGTGAATTTGTTACAGATACTTGGGGTACCTTAGTGCATAGTTCAAGAATCATGCTTTATCCACTAGATTATGAGCTTCTTTGGAAAAGATGTTGTATCTCATTCATCATGGAAAACTGTCTCTTTCAAAGATGACCACATTCTCAGTCCCACATGCTTTTCTAGAAACTTACCACTCCCTCAATGAGACACAAATCTAATTCTCTTCCCCTTGAATTTGGAGGGACTGGGGACTCACTTGTAATCAACAGAAAGTAGCAGCAATGACACTGTTTGATTTGAAAGGTTAGGTCATAAAAGGTGATTAATTTCTACCTTGTTAGCCAGAACATTTGCTCTGAGCTGCCATGTAAGCAACCCAACTGTCTTGAGGTCATCATGCTGCAAGGAAGTTCAAACTAGCCCACGCAGAGACACCGCATGGATAAGCCCAGAAGCTACTTCAAGGAAGATAAAGTCCTCAGTTCCTCCAACCCCCTGCTCTCTCAGCTCTGACCACTACCTTAGTGCAACCACAAGAGATAGCCAATGCCACCACCACCCATCTGAGGCCTTCCTGAATTCCCGTCCCACAGAATCTGTGATCCTAATAAAATGACTGCTGTTATTTTAAGCCATCAGTTTTGGGTGATTTCTTAGGCAGCAATGGTAACTAGAAAACTCTTTTTCTTTTTCTTTTCTTTTTTTTGGGGGGGGGGGCCTTAACAGCATAGTATTTTAAGATTTTATTTATTTATTTGAGAGAGAGAGACAGAGATAACAAGAGAGAGCAGGAGCGGAGAGGAGAGGGAGAAGCAGGCTCCCCGCTGAGCAGGGCTCCATCCCAGGACCCCGGGATCATGACCTGAGCCAAAGGCAGATGCTTAACCAACTGAGCTACCCCGGCATCCCAGCAGCACAGTATTTTGAGTACTTTGGAGGTTCAGTAAATGCTGATCAAATTGAATATAAAAATGAAAATCTCAATATATGGATTAATCTAAATTTCAGTGATGATTGAAAAGAACAAAATTATAGATGTATATGTTGAAAAATATGGGAACTTTGGTTAGATGTATAGTGATGCCAGAGCAAACCATGGATATCAGGGTTTGAGTTTTTTCAGAGTTTTCATAAATCCCTTAGATGAGTCTGTTTCCTTGCCTTTTGTTTTTGTCCCCTCAAAGGGCAGGGAAAGAATTCTAAATGCTCATTTGCAAACTTGCTATAACATGAGGTCACCATAGGGGTTGTACATGCTGAATTTTCCATTCTAGTTAATTGAGGATTTTAATTAGTCAATTCAGACTAAGCAAGGTACTACTATAATTGGTGGATTCCAAAGGCAGCCATCTGTTCCCTTTGTGAATATTAATACTATGTCATGTAGAGTCTAGCAAGGAGAAGAATTTGTCCAGTAGGAATTTTCTTAACATTAGCAAAAGGTGAATGCTTCCGAAATAAAAAGGAAGAGCTAGGAGAGCAAACAGACTAAAATAAGTAAAAAAAAAAAAAAAAGAAAAGGCCCAGGGAGAAAGGAAATAGTCCAATTATTTGGTATGTTAAGAGAATCTACTGAATTTAACCTGAGACATCTGTTTGTGCCTGGTGTTGTTTTTCATTGGAGTGGAGGGAGGTAATTAAAATGCCATGTAGCTGCTTGCCTTGTATGCATTTCTAAGCATAATTCAAACTCTTATGAATCTGCCCTCTCAAAGAAATGGCTGATTATAGAAACAGAACAAAACCTCTTTGATCCCTCTTGTGATACAACTAGGTCATGAGAAGCAGAATTCCAAATATATTCTGTTTTGGATGGCTCTTCATGGAAAGTCTGACTTGGGGAGGTTTTGAAATGAACAATGATGGAAACCAAGTCAGAATATAAAGCAAAAGATTTGTTGGCATGAAAAAACACCAACTCTGCAAAGGTTATCTAAATGGACTTTTTGTTAACAACAACTTGTTTTCTAACTTCCTTCAAAATAGGGTTTTTCTAATGAATAGTAACTAAAAGGTATAATGATAGATATCAGGTGTGCATTAAGATAGATGAATTGATTGTGCCATGCAAAAACCCATAATGGGTTTTTGGGGGAAAAAAGTATGCAATACTTATGAGTTTCTCATAAACTTCGACCTGTTTTGCTAGTGGTTTTATTGTCTAAAATACATAAATGTATCTTTGTATTCTAATCAGAGGAAACTTTTGTGCTTTTGGAATTAGTTGTGTCTCTCTCTAAAAGCAAAAACTTAATCTTAAAATATTTTGTGGAGAATCTAATATTTTTTTTTTAATTCCTGTAATGATTGGGATAAGGCTATATAACCATTATTCTCTTACCCTTGCAAAGGACAGGCAACCACATACTAACTGGTTTAAAAACAAAAGGGATCTAATGGCTCATAAAACAGTAAGGTTCAGTGTTAGGACTGGTTTCAGGTATAGCTCAGTCAGGGACATGGCTCTGTTTTTCTACAGTTTCCGTAGTTTTGCGCTTCTCTATAATGTCATCTTCAGGCTTCCTTCAGGATTCCAAAACAGTCTCACAGGAAGGAGGGTTTCATGTGTTCTCACATCTCAATATGCTCCCTGATTGAACTTCTCATCATCAGTCTCAGTGGCCTGGAGACTGTGCATGTGCATACATGAGCCTAGAGCAAGCAGAAGGGGCATTTTCTGATTGGTTGGTCTATCCCAGTTCAGGGTCCACCCCTGGACTGGAGTCAGTTCAATCTCACCTCAGCTAATAGCTACTCCCCAGTGATGAGGGGTGGCTCTTCAAAGGAAAATTTGAGTATTGCAACTTAGTGAGGCAAGGGGTAATAGGTACTGGGAAGATAATTAATTTTTAGTCCAGATAGTTCTTATTAACTGTCACAGTAGCTCTTCTGTTTTCTGGACAAGTATTATTATGGGCAAGTATACAATTTTCATCAGAGAAAATAGTCCTCCTATTTTAAATTGTATTTATAAAACATAGAAATAAGGAATTTATCAGAAACAAAGAATCAAATTAGCAAAGATTTCAACCACAGCAACAGTTTTGATTCTTTTAACAAATACTTATGTGTATCAGGTGCTGTGCTAGATTCTAGACACCAAGGAGCTCTTTATTATTTTTCTACACTAATTCTACATTACAAAAAAAAAATTACCTATGAAACAAACAACAAAACCATTCATTTGTTTTTCCATTTTAAAGATTAATCAAAAACACATAAATTATAAGAAATCCTAAGAGGTAAAAAAATGACATAAATTTTAAGAAATCTTAAAAGGTAAAAAATGAAATTTTGAAAACAGTTGAAGTACTGAAACTTTGAAGACAATTGACATTTTTATTAGTCTATTCAGTATCATCATAATATAAATATATTATTCAGTTGCCTAAAAAGCATTATTAAAGATTAAAATAAATAATATGTATGTGATCTCTCTTGGCTTTTAAAAATAATGACTTTTTTTCCAAAAAAATATTCATGACTACTATTGTGAATCACTGGTGATACAAGGGCCCCAGATTAGGAACAATAATCATAAAATAAAACGAAAACAAAACAAAAAAGTGTAGACACCAACATATAAATCATATAAATCCTATACACCATTGCTATCAAGTTTAAAGCTCACTTCTCCACTAAATCATTCTCTACCACTCTGATGAAGGGCCCCCACATTTCTTATTTGCCATTTAATTCTCTATGGAGTCAGATTGAGCCATCCGGACTCAATCTGAGCTCAACCTGAAGTTGCTTCTTCATCATATGACCTCAGGGTGCCATTGGGTATGCAGTATGCAGAATTAACCTTAAGAATTAACATCGTTAGTATTCAAGTAGCTCATACCACTCACAAATTTCTAACAAAGAATAGCCTGTATTTTATACATTAGTTGAAAACCTAGCAGAAGGGTACACAGGACTAGGCAAGCACACAGTTGACCTTGTATCAGCAATGAATGCATGCTGAGCACCCACTTCCCACTTTTCATATTTCCATCCTGCCCCCACACAGACAACCTCTGTTCAGATGAGCATTTTTACCAAATACTTCACCTCCCACAAAGCAATAGTGTATAAGATTTATATAATTAATGTTTATAAGGGACTGGTAGAGCCTTGTCTGAAAGATGCCTTTGAAGAGGAAAGGATTGTTGATACTGTGATGTCCTGGATTTCTCATCCTTATCAAGACTGCTTCTATGGGGAAAAGCTACAAAAATGATAGATGGGACCACTTCTATTCAGCACAGTTACAGGTGGCAAAACACTGCGGCAAGACGCAAGCAAGAATATGTCCCTTGGCAACATCAACACTATACACATGTATCTTGTCAATCACTAAGAATGCAGGTACCATACTTTACAGACCAGGGATAATGTTAATTCCATCCTGCTTACAGTGTGCTTTGTACTGGTAAAGTTCAAGGAGCTTTGCAAGCACCATAATTTAGCAAAGCGTGAAATGAAAGCTACATATAAGAAAATTGAGGCATTTCGAAAAATTAAGACATCTTTATTCAGCCATTAACAAGAAGGGTTGACACATTCAGTTTCAGAGCTACAAATGCTTTTCCCCATACAGATTATTTTCGTTGTTATTTAGAATTGACCTTCATTGAGAATATACAATGGACTATATATTGCTAGGAGGTTTCATGTTATTTATCTTATTTGATCTTTAAAACAACTCAGTGATGTATATTTTACAGTTGAGGAAATTAAGTCTTAGAAGAAAAATTAATATGGCTAAGATAACACAGGCTACTAAGTGACAGAGTCAAGAACCTAAGTCTGCATGATTTCAAAGCCATTGCGCTTTCCATTATACATACATACATACAACAGGGGAAGAATAATCACCACCAATCTAATACAGTTGACCCTTGATCAACATAGGGGTTAGGGGTGCCAACCCCTACGTAGTCAAAAATCTGCATATAACTTTTGACTCCCCAATAACGTAACAACTAGTAAGTAGCCTAATGTTGACCAAAAACCTTACCAACAACAGTCAATTAGCACAAATTTTGTATATGTATTATATACTATATCCTTCCAATAAAGTAAGCTAGAGAAAACATTATTACAAAAACCATAAGAAAGAGAAAATATACTTACAGTACTGTACCATAGTCATAAAAAATAATCCACACATAAGTGGATCTGCACTGTTGAAACCCATGTTGTTCAAGGGTCAACCACAGTTTCTTTCTTCTAGGAGCTTGTCCATACCTCTGCAAAGAATAGAAGAAACATAACTTTTTCAAATAAATTACTCTTTAACACCCATGAAGTTGTCTCATAACATGCCAGCCTCATTTCTGTTTTCCATCCCTGACCTGTGGACTAGCAGCCACAGTTTAGCATTTGATTATTTACATTAAGTCTCTATTTTATTTTATTTTAATTTTTTTTATTTATTCATTTGAGACACAGAGATACAGAGAGAGAGAGAGCATGAGCAGAGGGAGAGGCAGAAGCAGGCTCCCTGCTGAGCCAGGAGCCCGATGCGGGGCTCAATCCCAGGACCCTGGGATCATGACCTGAGACGAAGGCAGACACTTAACCATCTGAGCCACCCAGGTGCCCCAAGTCTCTATTTTAAAATACTCCCTGATTTATACCTACCCCTGCCAATCAGACACACACACTACCTCCAACACTTCCATCATTAATGGGCTCAGTAATGTCATTACTACAGGAGGAACTCCAAAAAGAAAGAAAATTAATGGGTCCATCAGTGAGAACAGAAATAATATGTGACAAAACAGGAATGCCTTCAGGTAGCTTGGATGGGCAGGCAGACTCAAGGAGCTGGCCCTCAACCCAAAAATACATTACCCTTCTGTAGACTGAAATTTGAAAAAGAGACTTTGTTATACTATTGGAATTTGAAAAAATAGCAAATCATTTAAGTCCACAAACATCCTTTTCCTAAAATACACATTCCTACCAAGAGGCATCTAACACACACAACTTAGGGCCAGTTCAGACTGTTTTCCCAATACCTACCTCTATGAGATCAATTACACTGAGGAACTATCCATTCTTACTAGGAGAATGAAGATGGAAGTAATGAATTTTAAAGTATGGAGCAGCTTGAGGGAAAGAAATGTTCAAGGATCAAAGTACAATGCTGGGTTTGGGTCATTATGAAGGCACTCAGTACTAGTAACTTGGGGAGACAGGAATGAAAGGTAGATAGAAAGGCACATGAGAGGATGTTAAGAAGACATTAGAGGATGGGTTGTCTGGGTGGCTCAGTCGGTTAAGCATCTGCCTTTGGCTCAGGTCATGATCCCAGAGTCCTGGGATTGAGTCCAGTCCTGCATGGGGCTCCTTGCTCAGCGGGGAGTCTGCTTCTCCCTCTTCCCCTCCCTGTGCCCAACCTGCCTTCCCTGCCTCCGCTCATGTGCTCTCTCTCTCTTGCAAAAATAAAGAAAATCTTTAAAATAAAAAAAAAGACATTAGAGGATGTACTTGAGAAAATGATTCTAAAGTTCTTCCAGAAGTATAAGCATTTTTTAAAGTAATCTCTACACCCAACATGGGGCTAGAACTTATAACTCCAAGATCAAGAGTTGCATGCTCTATCAACTATATAAATAGTTGAATGGATACACAAAATGCAGTATTACATACAATGGACTATTATTCAGCCATAAGATAGCATAAAGTTATGACACATACTACAACATGGATGAAAACATGCTAAGTGAAATAAGCCAGACATAAAAGTACAAATATTATGATTCCACTTATATAAAATATCTAGAAAAGGCAAATTTATTGAGAGAGAAAGTAGATTAGAAGTTACCAGGGGTTGGGGGAAGTGAGTTGTAGGAAGCTATTATTTAATGGGCACGGAGTTTCTGTTTGAGGTGATGAAAAGTTTTAGAGATAGTGATGATGGCTGCACAATATTGTGAATATAATTAATGCCACTGAATTGTACATTTAAAAATGCTTATAATGGAAAATTTTGTTTTATGTTATACACGTTATACCACAATGAAAAAAATAGTAAAAAAAAAAAAAAAAAAAAAGAAGGAAGAAAGAAAGGACAAGTCAAGAAAAAATTAGAGAAAAAAGAAAGAGGAATGAAATTAGCCCTTGTCTTACTATTAATTAAAATACATTGTTCTAAAATTATAATAATTAGTAACAGTGAGATCCCGGCACAGAAACAGAGAAACAAGTAAATGGTATCAAATAGAAAGTCTATAAGCAGACCTGTTTATACACATGAATTTGGTATGCAATGAAGAAGGAATATAAGTCAGTGAAACAGTAATGTAGGAGCAGCAATAGTCTATCCTGAGACAACTAATGAGCCATTTAAAGGATGAACTCCTTCTTGAGGGCAGGAATTCTGCCTGCATTGTGTACCAATTTCCCAAGCAAAAGCATGATACCTGGTACATTGTAGGCATGCAGTTAATGTTTGCTGAATGAACTAAAATTCATTCCTATGTAAAAAATATACCAAAGTAAATTCTAGATTGAATAAAGATTGCTTCTAACTGGAAAAAAAATTAAATACTGATAAACTTGAAAAAGTAAAAACCTCTACACATAAACATCAAAGGTGCATAAATAAGATTTAAGAGAAAATGACAAACTGAAATAAATATATATGTATATTTATAATATTTGAGACAAACATTAAGTGCCTTGGTTTATAATTAGCAGCTTTAACTCAATAATAAAAAAAAGACAACTACCTCAAGAGAAACATTAAGTATGTTAACAGTCACAAGAAGTTATAAAAAGCCAATAAGATTATGAAAAAAAATCTAACATCATTAATAATAAAAAAAACTAAAATTAAAATAGATACTATTTCACCTATCAGGTTGGCAACTATTGAACTATCTAGTGTTGGTGATGATTCAGAAAAATGAATATTCTTACACACTGGTGGCAGAGATATAAATTGGTCCAACTGTTATTAAAGGTAATTTGGCAGGAAATATCAAAAGTGATTACAATTTGAATACTATTTTGTCACCTGACTCTATTCCCGATAATTTAGACTAAAAATAATTAAAACACATGCACATTTTTTTTACCTATAAGGTTTCTCTAAATTTCAGCATTGCTCATAATAGAAAAAAACTGTAAACATTTAAGTGCCCAATATGAAACAGCTAAGTAAATTTATGATACATCCATTCCAAAGACTACTACACTATCAGAAAAAAAAAAAAAATGATGTTATGGACTGTTTAATGACTGGAGGAAATGTTCACTATACTAATTTAGGTTTAAAAAGCAGTTTACCAAATAGTATTAGGCAAAATGATTTCATGTTTTGTGAAAATGAAAAAATATATAAAATTAGAAGGATAAACTTTACATCCAGCTTCAATTTAGAAATCACTAATGGTGATTGTCTGATTATCAGGTTAAATGGCAATTTAAATGTTACTGCTAACTCAATTTACTATTTTTTCTGCAAAATCATGTATTGCTACTATAATATAAAAGCAATAAAACATGCCTTCAATTTCAATAAAGAAACAAAAGGTAACAAGGAAGTTGGTCCCCTATTATCAGGACCCACAATTAGTTAATTAGTTATAATATCTGTCTCTTTTCATGTGTCAAGCATATTACTAAGCACTTGACACCCATTATTTTATTTGTTCCTTACTCTTTTATTAGGTATCATTAACCCCTGAGGTCCTAGGTTTGGAAAAAGGACTGCTCAAGGCCATGTGGTTAGTGACAGAGTTGGGAATGACCTCCTAGTGTCTGAAGCCAAAGCTTATATTCTTAACCACAAATATTCTTGTTGTGGAGTAGTTTGGCTTTTTGAAGGTAGACCCTCAAAACAAACAAACAAACAAAACACACACACACACACATCCAAAACCAAACCAAACAAACAAACAAAAAAAAAACTACCAGGTATCACATAGTTGCTATGAGATTTGACACTCCAAACAATACACTTATAAATGGTCTTTGGGAAACAAATTTTTCTCGAACTGTGCATTGCTTCTACCTGTTTGCACTGGCTGTATCTGTCTCACATACATCCTTTTTGGAGGCAATATCCAGTAATGGGTAAGAGCACTGACCCGTTTTTGGATTTCCTGAGTCAAACCTGACTCTACCACTTAATACCCATAACACCTTAAGCAGTTATTTAACCTCACTGGGTCTGATTTCTCACCAGTAAAATAAAGATGATGATTGTCCTACCTCAAGGAGTTCCAGAGAGGATTAAAGAAATGAATCCACATAGTGCTTTGTTAGTTAACTGACACAAAGTAAGCACTTGCCAAATGGCAGTTATTCCAATCATTAATGTAACCTCTGGATAGTAAGTTCCCCCCAAAATCACATGTTACATTGCTTTTGAATTCCCTAAAGAGCTCACTAGATGATTGATCAGTGGATTGAAGCTGGATGTAAAGTAATATCCAATTCCAAATCTCAGCACTGCAAGTTTTCCACTCTGATTCAGTAAGAGCCCTATCTTGTTAACCTTTGTTCACTAATAGGAGCTTTGTTTTATTCTGACCTGCAATGCAGTGACTAAAAGAAAATCACTATTTTAAGGCTGTCTTGCATTTCCTTCTTAAACATTACTGTTGTTTACTGATTGAATATTCAACATTTAAATGCAAGTTACTTTCACTTCCACAGGGCCTTTTGGGGAAGAATGTAACTTTATGAGTCTAAAAACAGTTAAAGGACACCTGAATTGTAACATCCCTAAATATTTATGGCACCCAGTAGAAAAGTAACTGTAACTTATTTTTCTCTTTCAGCAAGAAAGTAGAGGAAAGAATCAGGGCTCAATCTTTCACTGAAAATATCTAATCTGGGTAAATCTGAGATAGCTTGCAGTGTTCATGTACCATAGGTTACTCAGAAGTCAACGAAGCTGAAAATCTCACTTTTAGAAAGTTCTCTTAATCCTTGAGAGTGTAACTGTTTATTGATTTTAATAATGACATGGCAGATTTTTAAACAAATCTGTAAATACTGATATGCAACTCATGGCATAATTCTGTGAATTCTCCACAAAATAGACAGTGAACATATTATTTCATCTAAACTGGTCATATTAAATAAATCCAAGAAATGTAATAAAATTCTATGACTTTCCCAAAGGCCAAGTTAACAGTCCTGACAATTCTCTTCCAGTGGCTAAAAGACTTACACAGAGAAACAAAGAGTATCAAAATTCCATTTAGAAAGACAAATTTTCCTGGAATTTTTCTTCTACTACAACGTTTTCAATTCAAATTAGTGATGACAAAACAAGGAAGAAACATGATTGGATCAATCTAATTAATTATAGCTCTTTCAGGCAGGCAAACTTCTCCATGATTTGGCTACAACTTAATTCATTTCCCCCAAACAACTCTCTCCCTTATACCCACCTTTCCTCCAGATCCTTCACTCTAGCTAAGGATCACTTCTTTCCCTAAGAATGGCCTGCATCTTCAGCCTCTGTGTATCTTGGCAAATGCTGATCCTTCTCCAAGAAAGTGTGTTTAGGATTATGCTGATCCTTCTCCAAGAAAGTGTGTTTAGGATTGTAGCTATTCCAGACACCTTTCAAGGCTCTGCTCAAATGCCACTTTTTCTCTTAATCCTACAACTGCACCAAAGGATAGATAAGAGGTTAGACAACCCTCCTCATAATGTTTGACAGCAATACAAAGACATCCCAATAATCATAATATCTAAATGAAAACTGTGCTTATTATATAAGTGGAAATTGAAGACAAAAATCCTTGGGCCACCCCCCATCCCCCTTCCAACACGATCGCTGCCTCTAATCCTACACAAAAATTTTGGAACTACCATGGATGAAATCACCCTCTGAAAATGAATTTTTCACTTTATGCCCACAGCATGCAGATTTCTTTTACTTTGGCCTTGAATATATCCCATCTTGTGTAACAATTCCTTGTATTTGGACTCCTATATTATTTCTCCTGCTATTTCTGGAGAGTGGGAATTGGGTCTTATTCACCAGATATTACCCACACTGCTTAACAGAGAGCACTGCTCAAAGTAGGTATTTAATACTTCAGTGGCCTGGAAATAAGAACAAATTTAAGAGAGGCACAGTCCAAAAAATCAGGCATGATTAATGAGTGAGTCTTATTACTTTCAAGTATACAAACTAACAATTCTGTTAGCGATCTCTGTTCATACTCTCTTCGGTTTCATTTTTAGATCATTTCCCCCACAATTCTACTTATTTAGCCCCTACTGTGATGTTCCCAACATAGTAGTTCTCAAACTACATTTTTGAATGAGAACAGTATCTCATTGTTAAAATCAAAGTGTGGATATTCTTTTCCCAATTCACACAAAAACATTAAGTTATTGTTAGAATTTTTCAATTTTAAATTTTGCTCACACCTTCGTTATCACAACTGGAATCTATGCAAACAAATATATAGTTAATTTATCAATATTTCATGGGTTCACACAAACAGAACATGATTTTTCAGGTGTTTCACCTGAATGCCAGAGAAACTCACTCTCCCAACCCTTTTATATAACAATCTTATTCCCCTTGCACCAAGAGATTCAAAATACTAAAGTCTGCTTTTCCAAGGGTGTACATTTTAAAAATTGAAGAAACTGATTTAAAAATGTAGATGATAGAATAGACAAAAGATAAGGTATTTCAGTATCTAAAATAAACTTAAATATAATGAATGCAATTTTCAGAAATAGAGAAAATACAAAACCTACAAAATTTCCAAATTCCTTTTTACAAATGGTGGTTTAATTATGCAATGCAGCATTTCCTCTCTGACTTGAACTACTGGTCTGTACCAGGTATTACCATAGCCTCTTATATACTAACAATCAAGGCATGTCAATTTAAAAACTTTTAATTATTTTGTGCTTTGTACATGTATCTGTATATAGACACTTCTATCTACTTATAGATGGATAAACACTTAAGTGCCCATAAACAACATTTGTATGGGTTTTCTATTTGCTATTCATATCTTGACCTATTTTCAGACTTTATTAATGTTCCTGTTGAGACTATTCTAGCAAAATCCTGATAGCCAGCCTTGACAAGTAAACCCTACAACGCTCTGAGTTTTGATTCATACATGATTCACTAATGCCCTAGGATTCTCAGATTAAAAGTGCTATGGAAACGCCTTTATTACATATTCAAGATGCACCTTTCTTACATATTCAAGGTACAGTACACAGCCCTTTCCATCCTGCAGCTGAGCATGTTTGCTCTCTGCTAAGCACCATGACATTTTGTTCTCAAAGAGGTTGCATTGTCTTGATGAATGTTGCAGTTCCTAAGAGAACTGTTATTTTTTTTTAAGTATTCATTTCCTAGAAATAGAATGAGCTATTACTTAAGACCAAAATCTATCTCTAAAAAATATATCTATCTCCAATGCCCACAATACATTATTACATTAAATTATTTTGAAGGCCATAGGCAGAAAAATTTTAAAACTTCTGTGTTTTGCCTTTCAACCAACAGATCCCCAGAGTTAGTTAAACTCGTATCTGCTAGAAAAAATACAGTCCTGTCTTGGGGGGAAAAAAAAAAACAAAAAACTTGCTATTTTTCTGTTTCTCACAAAGTATGTACTTCAATAGGTTTGCAAAGCATGAAGGTCCAGAAATAGCCTGTTATTTTTTTTCCACAGAAAATCTAAAATTAGCAACTTATTTCCAATCTAGGAGAATTCCCCTCCCCATGAAGTCATCTATCAATTTTAAAATAAGCAGTAAGGGCATAAAATGTGCACACATCTAATAAAATTCCCAGTGAAAGTGTTAAGGAAATATAGGTGTTCATTTGCATTCTAGTGGGAAATAATTTTACTCTTAAACTTTTCCACAGCATTTGATATTTCAGAAACCTATAGTGTTTCTTTCTTTCACTCTCATCAAATAATGCCAACCAACCAGTTCCAGGAATCTTTGATTTAAATTTTTTTTCTAAAACTAGAAGCAGACACTTTCCTATGGAGAATCCAGATTTTTGTAACTCTTTGAGGTACTGGTCCTATTTATGTCAGTTAATTAAACTTGAGAGCTTAGTAGATGGCTTATTCAGCTATTAGGAGATAAACTATTGTCTTCATTTACACATAATATGAATGCTATTGTTCATGTTGTCATTAATACAGATACTTGGAAGAAAATTTTAGACAAAGAAAATAACTGTTCTCAATAAAATAAAAATTTTAAAGTCTGTGAACAAAGCGGTCATGCAGTTCTTTTAGAATTCAGCTACTGGATAAAGTTTTTCTTTTTTGAAAAACAGATGTGCTTCCTCTTTTCTGGTTACAAGAATTAGAAAACTCACTATGTTTCTTTCTGACTTGGCTGCCAGGAAGCTCAGAGCTAAACTAAGTTCCCATTAACAGTAAATGCTTTCCTAGCTTTTAAATTCATGGTTGTTTATTGCTATTTTATTATGCCAATGTATTTAAATTCTATATATGTGGAAAGAAGCAGGAAGTTCATTAATTTCAAAAGAATTTCAGTTCAAACCATTTATTGTGCACCCCCTGCCTGCCAGGCCCTACTCTAGAGGATGCGGATGAGGTTAGTTAAAAGATTATTTTCATGAGAGAAGTGAATATATCTAACTGTATCCTTAAAGAGGAAAAAAAAATTCCAGTCAAACCAACTTCAAGAAAACAGAAATTTAAAAGAATCTCTTTGAAAGAAAAGCCTGCCAATATAAATTTAACCCTCACAAAGAAGTTGATAGAGTGAGTGTAGTTATCTTTTGAATGTGGCTTACAGGGATATGGAATACTAGTTACTTAATTATACAACCTTTTCCTCAAGGGTCCAACAATAAAACCAGCTTTCATTCTTGGGCATGTGCTAAAAACCAATAACACTATTAATGAAATAAAAGCTTTTAAATAAATTACCCCTTAGTAGCAGAGATCAATTTAAACATTCTAACTTCGAAGAAAGGAGGCTTTGGGTCTAAGATTTCCTACCTCAGAGTTTTTGATGTAACAAATAAGTAGCACCTATTGGGGTAAGCCAAGAAATATGATGCACTTTATGTGACCAGGCAAGAATAATTGTTAACTAGTAAAGCAGTTCCCTTTTATAGTTGACTTCAAGGTTGGTGGGCCTACATCTACCCTTGCTTTCTGCTTTGTTTTACTTTACTGGCTTGCTAATATGTGTCCTGTCTTACGTGACCCTAGGTTGGCTTGCCTTCTGCCAGCCTGATGTTGAGAAAGGTATTAAAATTTACAAGGATCTTGCCCTTGGCCTCCACTCTCAAGGGTGCAGCTTTTTCACACACTTTAAAACATTGCCAGCTCACAATAGCCTTCCAGTCAGGGAGGGAAGCCCAACAAAACTGCCCACAGATGCATGTGCTTGTCACCTGCCCCAGCAATTGCAAATAGACTACCACTTTTCAGAGCAACCTGTTTGTCTTCCCTTTGCAAGAGAAAGCTCGTAAATAACCATAATATGTATTTCAGATAGGCCCAAAATTGGACTTCTCAATTTGAACTATGTGCACACAGGCTTCTCAGACTAACATAGTCTTTACATAACAGAGCTGCCTATAATTTCACTGACAACCAAGTTAAAACATTTTTTTAAAGTGGTGTCATGCCTTGGTGATTTTCTAAGAGAAGCCAAACATTGGAATGGCAGATACCTTTTAAGTAATCCTAAGGAGCATCTCAAAGGATTCAGAGAAGTTACAAATAGCAAAGTGTATGACAATTGATCTTGAAACATTAGAGAGCTCTAAGGAAGAAAAAAGCAGACCAAGAAGATTTTTTTTTTTTAAATCCTAGGTTCCTTCCCTAAATGGTGCAAGGGGAATGTTAGAATTACAGCAAAGTAAGCACTTCACTAATCTGTGCAAGAAAACCCAAATTTTGTGGGACAATATAAAACTAGGTCAAGATTGCCATACTTAGAAACACAGGTACAAAAATTGTAATTTAAACAGCTGCAAAATTAAATGGGTAGAAGAGTTGGGGAAGGGGATCAAGGCCATTGAGTCTGATGTTTCCAGATCTTGGCATTCGACATCTCACTCCCACGCCTTTAAGTGAGTTAAATCACATAAGCACAAAACATGGGCGAGATGACCAATTTCGGGAAGACGGCAGATTTCCCCCTCCTCCATTCCCTTTAGATCCTCGTCCTGAACGTTCTCTCTTAATGGCTTTTCGTTTCTAGGGAAGTCTCTCATATCTTTCGGTCTCATTATCTCACTGTACAAATCTTTGAAAAGGAAAGAGCCCGTGGTTTGCTCTGTGCGCGGACATCTTTTCTTCTGCCGGGGCTCTTAGTAAGCCTTCAACCAACTTTCGCTGAAAAGGATGTTGCTGAGGGGTGATGAGGCTTGAAATCCCACCGCTCTCTCATTCTCTTTTCTTTCTCTCCGCATAGGTCACCTCTCCATCGCCCTCTATTCCCCCGACAATCCACAATCCACAACCGTTTCTAAGTAAACCGGGGCGATCCTCCCCGTTTCTTCCTTTGACCCGAGAGTTACTTTCAGTGGAAGATAGATCAGACAAGATGCTTAACCAGGGGATAGTCAAATGGAATACTTGAGGGGAATAAAAGACCTAATTGAAAAATCCCGTGCTGCCTAATTGCGATTATTTTGCAGATAAGTGAGCATATTATTCTTTTGGTAGTGGTTTTTGTTTTGACACCGAGGTCTTTTGCCCTATGCATTCTTGTTTATTTAAAGGACTTATATAGCGCTTACCATGTGCCGGCACTGTTCCAAACACTTTTTAAAATATGACCCTCTTTGCTTAAAAAAAAATTTTTAAGCGACATTAAATCCGCGTGTGCTTTTCGAACGTCCCTGCTGTATTTTTCTTTATAACACGTTACAGCAGTTAAGTCTTCAAAGACAAATATGGAAAAATTATAACCAGTTGCTAGTTTATTGCAAGCAAACCATTTCCCTCTTTGCAATTTTTCACAATTATAGTAATCAAATGCACTAATATAGTGAGAATGAACTCTTAATTTTTTTCAGTGACGATCTCAGATTTTGCCTCCGGCGTTTGGAAGCGCGGGTTTATTTGCTCGCGTGGCAAACGTTAATTGCACTTGTAGGCATTCACTTTCAGAAAAACGTGCATCCCTCACTGAAAGTTGTGAAGGTTGATTCGCGCCAGGCCTGGTGCAGCGCATTCACCTGTGGCCCGAGCCGCCTGGCCATTGGCACATCCTCCTTGGAGGTGGGGCGGGCGACCCGCCGGTTAGGCTCAGCACTGCAGAGCTACAGGGATCCGGAGCGGGTGACGTCGGGGGAGGTCGGAGCGCGTGGGAAGCCGGCCGGCTCAGCTCTGCTCAGCGCCCTCAGATGAGCAGAGGCCCTCGCGGGCTGGGTACCCACCCTGAGGCAGGCAGCCGAGCTGGGGGGTCACTGCTCCCCCCACCCCCACCCCCGCGTCCCCGGCGTCCTGAGCTGACCTGGTCCAGCCCACCAGGGCCCGCCCGGCCCCCGCCGACTGTGTGCTTTGCCCGAGGTTAAGTTTCAGAAGTCAGGATGAAACGTTTTGGGTTTCTGTTCACACGGTTATTGCAGGCACCGCGGCGGGACCGCACAAAAGAGACGAGGGCTTGTGGGGAAGGGGGTTTTGTGTTTTAATGAGGGCTTAACACGCTGGCTGCAAGTCCTTCCCGCTCTCCCCCGCCCAACCCCCGCCCGGGCCCAGTCTTTTCCCGACGCATCCTTTCCTCTCCGCCTCCCCGCCCCGCGCCGGTCTTGTGTGCGGACAGAATGGAGTGTCAATGGGACGCCCTAAGCAGATCCCTGGAAAATCCGGAATCCGTCCGTGGCGGACGGTTATGATGAATGACAGACGCCCCTTTCTCAAAGCCTTTTCTCCCCCACTAAAGAAAGCACGGAGCTGTCCCGGAGCAACGAGTCTCCGGCTCGACCGCGACCAACCCGCCGCCCGCCTCGCGGTACAGCGGCTCGGGGCCGTGCGAGCCCACACCGCCTCTCGCGCTCGGTCTGCTCAGCTCCAGCCCTCGCTGAGGCACCCTGGCGTAGCCTGTTCAAGTACCGCAACACACGCAAAGAGCCGCTAGAAAACGTGTTTTGAAAGCACTTCTGTAGTTTTTACAACCCACCTTGTCCAACGCTCTAAGAACTGGACACGAATTCGTACTTTAGAAAACAAACTGAATTTCCAAGCGCGAATTTTTTCACGTTCGGAATTCTCATTAACTCTACCGCTACGACTGCACACACCAAGGGGAGTGGAGAATTGCCATCATCTGGATAATCCAAGCCCGAAAAACTCGAACTTGAAAAACTACTAAAATTGTGTCCTGAAATACCTGCGTCATTGGTCTCGTCTTTCCTGCCGCCAGAGCGGACATAACTCCGGCTCACGGTCTACTCAGCGCAGTCTACTATCCACAGCCCCCGTGGCCAGATGGAAATAACTGATTTAGAGCAAATCGAACGTCACATGGTAGCCGGGCTCAGACCCTCAGACAGCCAGCGGTTAAGTACCTGGTCGGGGAAACTCACGTCCTTATCTGTCCACAGCCCAGAGGCCGCGAAAGCAGCCTTGGGAGTTGCCAGGGAGAAAAGCAACTTTGATTTAAGGTTTTCAAAAACCCCAGAGGGCAAATGTGACCCTCAGGGTCAGCCAGTCAGCAGTTTTGGTCCAGACAAGGGACAGCCGAGTGGGGCGGTTCGGTTAAGCCACGGCGCCTCCCAACGTCACTACACGCTCGCTCACACTCAGCCACGCGCTTGGGGTTATTCTTTAAACACAAGACAGAAACTTCACCGCCAGACTGTGGGGAGGGGTGCGAGGGAGGGCCGAAACCCGAGGTCTGGAGCCCGCCCCTCTACGGTCCTCCCCCGCCGCGCCCGCGCCCACGTCCGCGTGCTGCCCTAGCTGGAGCTATCGACCTCGCGCTCACGCTCGCCGCTGCCTCTCCCGCCTGCGCGCAGCTCCGGGACCCTAGGTGCGCGGCAGCGTTCCCACGCCTCCGCAGGAGGCTCGCCGCGAGCATTGGCGAGCGCGGCCCCGCCCCTCCGCCCCAGCCAATCGCAGGCCACGCCGACCCGGAGGAGGCGGAACCCGGCGGGGCGGCGGGGCCTGCGCGCGGGAGGCGGGCGAGGTGGCCCCGCCCGCGCGGAGGGGCGTGGCCGGCGCCGGTTCTTGCGGCCGATCCCGGCTGCGGCGTGGGAAAGAGCCGCGAGGAGCCGACCGCGCCGCCGCGGGAGCCGCGCCTTCCCGGACCCAAAGAGGGAGGGAGGAAGGGAGGAAGGGAGGAGGCTGGCAGGGCCCCTGGGCGCTGCGCCCCGCTCCGCGTTGGTGGCTCGGGCTGGGCTGTTCCCCACGCCGTCTTCGCCGCGATGAAGCGCCCTTGCGAGGAGACGACCTCCGAGAGCGACATGGACGAGACCATCGACGTGGGAAGCGAGAACAATTACTCGGGGTGAGCGCGGGCTCGACGGGAACTGCCCGGAGCCCGAGGCATCCGGGAGTTTTGTGCGCGAGCGGCTCCTGGGAAGTCCCGAGGCTCCTCTCCGCGACGTCCTAACGAAGCGGGGAAAGTTTTGCCCGAGAAACTTTGGGCGGTGGGCGCTCACGGAGCGTGCGTTGGGGTGGGGCGGGGGATGTCGGTTTTCACACCAGGGGTGGGGCGGAGAGGAAGGGAGACGCGACTGAACCACAGCGCAGGAGTTGGCGAGGGAGGGTCCCCGGCTGTCAGCGTTGGGAGCGCGGACAGGCAGGCGCTGGCGACGGGCGACGCCCCCGCCACTGAAAACTGCGGGAGCACTTCCAGGATAGGCCAGGCGAAGAGAGAAAGAGATTGATATATATATTTTTTATTTTTCAAGAGTCTAAAAAGATGATTTGCCTTTTGGAGAAATTAAAGCAATTTGCAATTTTAAGGCCAAGTAGGTTGAGCTTTCCAGGTTGACTATGTGTGAGTGGCCTGACGGGAGAGTGAGTGACAGACGTAAGGATCGTTTGGGGCATAGATCATCTCTTTGACTGCTTGTTCTTAAGTCTGGAAAAGATCGGGGTCGTGATCACAGAAGCCAGACCTCTACTTTCCAGTGACAGAGGGAGATTACCGAGGCATTTTAATGCCAAGGCGGGTCAAATGATAATTGCTTCTAATTGGCATCCCCACAAGCTCCTTAATTATTTATCTGCAGCTGTCACTCAAAGAGCAAAATTCTTCCTACCTTTGGAAAACTGGTTTTCTTTCCACATCGTTATTCTAATAAGTACAAACCAAAGCGTGAAATCGGCAACAGCAGAGATATTTACATGAAACGTTGCTTGCGAAGGATCTTTTTAATTATTAAAGTGTGCGTCATCTTAAAAAATGAGATCTGAAAAACAGAAGTCATGTGAAAGGCGAAACCAGTTGGGATGGGGTGGGACTGAGGGGGACACTTAATTCAGAAATAAGATCCAGAAGTGAGAAGGTGAGGTAATAAGAACCTGGTGTGTGCAACAGTCCTAAAATGAAAGAGGACAAATAACAGGAATCTGGAGAATTTGAGAACATAAAGAAGCATAGTATCCATGAATTATGAAGAGAAACATGTACAAACTAGAAAGGATGGCAAAAGCTGTAAGTGACAAAATAATGATTTGATTGAATTTTCAATACAAAATATTTTTTCATTAGTAAACTCAAGATGGATTGCAGCTTCTAGAGGTTTAAGCTTAGGCTGAAGACTAGGAGATACCTACAGTTTCATTTTCAAAGTAAAACATTTACCTAGTGGTTGATCTCATTTTAATTTCCCTATCAGTGGCATATTTAATTTGGGGCATTCTTTTGGAAGATTAGTATACAAAACATTACATTTGTCATTTTTTTTCCTGTTGTGAGATATGACTGACTGAAGTTTTGAAATAGTAAGATAACTTCTGTTTATTTTGAAGATTGCATTAGGGACAACAGTTTGACATGTGATGACTGTCTATCTGTTTGATAGTGGTGCTAAACATGGCCTTTATTTTAAAATAGCTTTGCTTTGTTTAGTGTGTCTGACCGGAGGTTGGAGGAGGGATGCTATTAGGGATTAGTTGATTTTTAAGAAATTTTTATGAGTGGAACTAGGAAGTACTAATAACTGACTTCTCACTCTGACTGCTCGTAAGTTTTTCACTGCAAGACTTAAAAGTTTAGAGATGTTTTTGCAAATGGATTTGGTGTCTGGATGACTTGTTAAAAAAGGGGGGGAGGGCATGATTCTTACCTGAAAGTAGATATAAGGACTGAAAACAAAGTATGTTAAAAGTAAGAATTAAGAATAAACACAGAACTGAACTGTGCAATCACTCAATATTTAATGGATGCCATGAAGCACCCAGAAGAAACCATTGTTATGTTAATGCAGCACCTGACATACTGTTCCTATTTCATAGGCAAAGTACTAGCTCTGTGATTAGATCAAATTCCCCAACAACAACATCTCAGATTATGGCAAGAAAGAAAAGGAGAGGGGTATGTGATTTTTTTTTCTTTTTATTTCATGTAATGCAGACTAATGTGTAACAGTTGTATTCTTCCATTAAGAGTAAATTTAGCATTTGTGTATTCAAAAACTTTTGTTATTGTTTTGCTTCCTTTGGAATAGATAATAGAGAAAAGGCGTCGAGATCGAATAAATAACAGTTTATCTGAGTTGAGACGACTGGTGCCAACTGCTTTTGAAAAACAAGTAAGCTACCCTTACCCCTGACCACCCCACCAAAAGGCTCAAAAAAATCTGATTCTCTCATCTGGGAATGTGGGTTCTTGTTAAAGCTCATTAAAATAATGGTGCATGTGCCCTGATCTGGCACAGAGCAGCTATTTCAATAAAATGCTTTGTTGTGGCAAAACTATTAAAAACATAATCCATCATGAAGTTGAAAAACATTTCCATTCTTCAGCTTATTTCTCCCTTAAGGGTAACAGTGTTCATGCTTTCTCTGTTCTTTCTATGAAGACCAGTAGTGGTTTTATTTAAAACTGAGCTGTATGTCGTACTCTTTTAAAAAATATACCATGTGAAATTTCATTTTTGTGTCAAACGGTTAAAAAAAAAATGCTTTTTAAAAATAACCAAAGTCCAGGAAGTAACATCTCTAGCTCTATTTCCTATGATAATACCAATAAAATTTTTTTACCAAATCACTTGGTTTCATTTTTAATCCCTGGATTAATAGAACAGTGTTCTACTTGGGGCATCTTTTTGGAAGTTTGGTAAAAATACAACTAGCCATAAATTTCCTTTTTCAGAATTCAAGGTATTCCTTTACAAAAAAAAAAAAAAAAAAGATTTTGCACACTTAGAAAAGGAAGAAGCCAAATGTTTAAATATTCCTTTGCCGTTTTGGAAAAGTTTTATATCTCTTGCCACAATGGCTAATAGCACAGATTTCTAAGAGCATCTTTCAAAGAATATGGCATCGTATGCTATTGAAAATACTTTCAATTTAATTCAAATAGGGTATAAGGCAGCAGTTGTTTGTTTATTTTGTTGTTTACTTCATGAACCACAACTATACAGCAAGCCCTACAAAGCCCTTGGAAATTATCCAGAAACTGCAATTCTGTTATTTGTCACTTTCACTAAAACTACTGTACATCTTCATGGAGGTACTGCAAATTGACAGAAGTACAAGATGTAATATGCTCTTGATTGTACATTTCTGAGAGAAAAAAGATACCTATATGCTGAAACTGCCTTTGGAAATTGTAGTTTTGATTAGTAACATTTTCAATGACAATAGGCTGAAAATGAAAATATCAGTAATTGGCATTTTCACTTTGAGTACTGAAATCTCTGCAGTTATGAAGAACAGTCAGTTTGATTTTTTTTTCCCCCTTAGTTTGTTAGGGTTTTTTTCTTAAATGTCGACTTAAAACAAACCTTAAAAGCAAACCTCAGTTGTTTGGCAGTTAGTTACCATAAACACAGGCTTTCTCATTTGCCAAGCTTGGCTACCAATCCTAGTTAGCTGGCCCTGTCACAGTATGATTAGAAGAGTGTTCTTTCTAGCAGTTTAAATAACTCTGGCACTCTCACCATGTACAGGGCGCTGATAATTTTCACAAAACAAGTAGAGCATAGGAACCTGAAAAAAACTTCAGTTTCCTTTTCAAAAAGACATATTGATTTAATTATTTAGCTTTTCCAGGAAATTAGCAGCCACCCACAGTCCTCTGAGGCAGTTCAAGGTGGCACATCTGTATTTCAGTTGGTTTCCAGAGGTTGCTTGATTTTAAAAAGTAGGACATATAAATATATTTCCAAGATATTTTATTAAGAACTATTTTAAAGTGTTCAAATATCTTTAAGCATTTCTGATGCTTACTAGATAGGTAGTAAATTATGCTTTCTTGTTTATGATATTGGGACTCACAGTGACACCTGCTGGTAATTTTTGGGAAAAAAAACCCTTAAAAGTTTTCCCTTTTTTATTTTTTGTTTCTGCTTACCAGGGTGTGCCTTAAAGACTTATTAGAACTTTTTATTTTTGAAAATTCTAATTTGCTAAGATCCTGTCTCTTTATCCTTCAGAGTGGGATTCAACTGATCTAGAACTGCAGCATTATATAAGGCTATTAGATGTCCCCTAATGAAATAGAGGGTAGAGATTGGATGCAAGGTTTGAGATTTTTGCGATTATAATTGTTTTAGTGGAGCAGTCTTAGGAGTATAATTATTCTTATGATTAAAAAATTATTTGTTATACCTTTTAGTCTTTAAAAGATAAATTGGCCAATATCTGTCATTAGGTGTGACACAGTAATTATTGTTTACATGTAAAGTTTGCCAAGAACTCAGATGTTTCTGTGAAAAAATTTAAACTTAGAATTTTCTAATGAAAAGGAATATTGAAAATCCAGTGTAAAATGTTCCAATTCAGTTTCCATAGAACTTCTAAGACTTTGTTATTTGTTTATACAGGGATCTGCAAAGTTAGAGAAAGCCGAAATACTGCAAATGACAGTAGATCATCTGAAGATGCTTCAGGCAACTGGGGGTAAAGGTAAGTAGGTGACTTCATTTTTACCCCCTTGCCACCTCTCTCTTTTCATTTTTCCCCCTAAGATTATAGGAAAGTCATAGTTGAACAGTTCTTTAACAAGCTGAGATAGGAGGTCCCAGATTAAAGCTGTGGAAATCAATGCTAGTGGCAGGATTGAACTCGTGGGAAAGAACTTCCGGAACAAAAGAAGCACTTGACCCTAGGCTTGTGTTTGCTTTCATAATACTGTGGGAGTAAAGCTTCATTCACAGCAGCCTGGTCAGAGATTTGTTTGGGACCTCAGGAACACATGCTGGAGTCTGTACAGAAAGACAAAACAAACACGCAAACATCCAAACATAAACAGGAGGTTAAAGGCAATCTTTTTCTCTTCTTCTTTCTCATCCTCTGATACCCCCGAAATCAAGACTAGGACTCAACCTAATGTAGCCATTCCAAAGGAATTGACTTTAGAATTATCTTCACTGTTTTCAGATTTTGGTTGATCTTGGGTTTAGACCAGACAGAACATTTGAACTATAGGTAGTGAATCTCTGTACTGAAAACTATTAATGGAGCAGAGACATTCCTGCAGAGAGCAAGCAGGGACAGGTATCCTGGGCCCAGGGCCCTGGAGAGATGTCTTCTGTACTAGATAGTGATTTAGGAAAGAATCATCCAGAGGTCAGAGATGGACCCCTCATGTCACGTTAAAAATAGACTTGCGATCCTGAAAGCTGTAATATTCATTCAGATTTCATGATCCCTCTTCTCACACATTACTCAGACTTGATTTTGCCCTTTAGTATCTTTTTCACTCTTCAAGCAGGCCTTTGCTAGTCACCTTCACCAAGAGTCTTTGGTTATTTAATGTATTTGACAACTGGGTAGGGAGAGACTACCACCACGAGGGCTAAGTGCTGCCCTCAACCCTGGCAGCTTCTCTGCTCAGCATTATCCTTTCATTACATAGTATCACAGTTTGCCCTAGATCGGAGCAAGGGCAAGGCACTGGAGGGAAATAGCTGTTTACCAATTGCTGTGGAAGTACTTCAGTGTTTAACTCCAATGTGACCATACTGCCAAGGACCTGTGGAACATCAGCCCTGGCATTACTCTCTTTTACCTGTATCAGGTGTGCGGGGAGGGGCGGTGATCACGTAAAGAGAAGCCCCCATGGTTTGACTAAACCTCAGTTGCACCTTCTCTAGAAACCATCCTGGATACGGAATTGTGATTTCTTATCATGAAAATTAACCTTCAGCATAGGATGCAAAAACTCTTACATAATAGAGAAGAGAACTGGATGAAATCGTAGAAACCAGTGATCCAGCCTAGCTTGGCCATTGCCTTGCCTTTAACCCACGACAGAAGTGCTCTGCTGCACTGTGAGGCCTACACTAGCATTCTGAGCTCTAAAGCCCCTGCAGCCCCATGATTTTGATTCTGCACCTGCCACCTCAGGATAGTAGACTGATGGAGTTGGTGATGGTGCAGGAACAGCAGTCTGACTGTTCTGCCTCCCTTGGTGTTGTTCACAAGGCTAAGAATTCTTACCAGGGTTTCAAATATTTGGCATGAGCTATACTTCTAAAGAGGAATACTGTTCTTATGCCTTATTGTAAAAACTAAGTTCCATTCTTGGTTGCTATTCTTGGCTACCTGAACAGCCCTAAAATTCATCCCAGAATAGTTTATGAACAGATTATTTCCAAGCAAGCTCCGTACAAGTTGCCTGATGGCCAAGTCATCAGAGAGGTCATCGCACAGGAGGAAGTATGGACCTTGAAGAGGAGGGATTGGCAGTGGGGGCTCACATCATCCAAGACTCACAGCTGCTGTGGGGCCTCACAGTGTAGTGGTGAAGGACACAGATTCTGCAGTTGGGTTGCCTGGTTTCGAATCCTAGCTCGGCCATATTTTAGCTCTGTGAACTTGGGTAAACTACTAACCCCTGCCGAGCCCCAGTTTCCTCATCTGTAAAATGAGGACAGTGATAGTGTCTACCTCACAAGGTTGTTGTGAGTTTATTCACTTAAAGCCATACATTAGCGATGGCACAGAGGAAGTGATATGGACCCATGTGCCTTCATTATTGGCCCAAGATTATTCCTAAGGGACAGCTGCTCATCATCATTTTCTTCTGCATTCAGCAATAGAATAGGAATTACACAATTTATATTCCTTAATACGCAACAGAGAACTCAGCCATATATAACAACACAAAGCTGGCAAATCACAAATTTCAATCACTTTGTGCCCACTCATGAAAATTCTTGGAAGCCCCTGGGATTCCCGTTCTCTTGGTCCATTCTTTACAGTGTGTCTTGGTACTGCAGTGTCTTCTAAAGAGAATTTAGTAGAGTAACCTAAATTTCTAGATCCCTCTGTGTTTCTGGACTCTGTCTTCTGTTGGATTACATTCATCCTTCTCTCATGAAAATTAGAAGCCTGATCCTTCTCTCATGAAAATTAGAAGCCTGAAAAGCCTGACAAAGAACGCTGAGGGTTCTCATGTGAACTCTTTCTATGGAGGCGTCTTCTTCAGGAAGAGCTTTCTCTCTTAATCCCAGGGATTTTGTTGCTATCTAAGCTGAAGTCCTGGGATGATAACTATTTCTGTTGCTGATCTTCCACATTTCATGATATTCTCTTATATCAGCTTTGTGCTGTTATTGTTACTGTTTTAATGGTGTGTATTTTTGCCCCAAATATCTTTTTGAGACTTCCATATTTCTGTTGATATAATAGCTTTAGGAGTTTCCAAAGTGCTTTGATTACACAATAAGATGGTTTAATTTTTAGTAGATGATAAATGAAACAGTAATACTTGGGTCTGCAGAAACATGAAAAAGATAATACATTAAATGCCTTAGGTAAAAATAACTTTGTAATATTTTTCATTTCTGTATACCCATATCCCACAGCTGAATAAATTTTTAATTTGAAAATTGCTAAAAAAAAAAAGTTGCAAATGAGAAAGAATCTGAAAAGGATACATTTGTACACATTAGAGGTCACTCAGAGTGGTGACATTTCCCCCAAATGTCTGATTATTATTCTACCCTAAATTGGCACTGATAATAATGATACATTACTATTTTTTATCTAATGTACTACATTTGGATAAAAAGGGATTCTCATAAATGTGACTCAGCTCCAGCCATTTTTATGGTTGTAACCTTAGGTGTGGGAGGGGTGTGGTACATGCATACACACTGAAAAATTAACAGTTTTTTCTTGGGTGGATGCCAGGAAAATATAAGCTAACCGGTAAAGGAAAGATATCTTTGAATTTCGGGAAAGTGAGAGGAGTTATCGTAATCTCATATCAGTAAAGCAGCCTTATATTGCCTGATAGAAAAATAAGATCTTCAAATTAGTAACCCCCAAATTAAAAAAAAAAAATTTTTGTTTTCATCAAATTTTTCATACAATTTGCTAAAAAAAAAAACAACAGTCAAGAAGTATTTATGAATTTATTAAGAGATTCTAGCACATATTTAAAGAAAGTCCTCAAGCTGCTAAGATGTATTTCATATCTGTTACAAATGCCAAGAGTGCGGCTGTTTCAGAATAACCCTTTAATCTCCACCGCATGCGACAGAGACAGAGGGACTGAAATCCTGTACGATCGTGAAAAAGTTTACTAGGGAATTTCACGATCCCACAGTACAAAAGGAGAGGCCCCCCTCCCTTGTTTTTTTTAATGGAAGTATTGAAACGCGGGTGTTCTTAATTACTTTTTCCCCACTGTGATATTTAGTTGCAAGAACTGTAGTATGTAGCATTGCTAGTGTTGTCACACATGTGAATTGCAAAGTAGACTTTCTTCCGTAACAATTACAGCCAGAAATAACTGGCAACATTTTCAGAAAGGGTCGTCATTCTCCCCGACTCTTCGGAAGCACAGAGGGAAGCACAGCCGGTGGTTACTCAGTCTCTGTACCGCTTTCTCTCGCTCCTCCCCCCTGCCCCCCCCCGCTCCGACCCCCTCTCAGGCTACTTTGACGCACACGCTCTGGCCATGGACTTCATGAGCATTGGCTTCCGGGAGTGCCTAACGGAAGTGGCCCGGTACCTGAGCTCCGTGGAGGGCCTGGACTCCTCCGACCCCCTGCGGGTGCGACTGGTCTCTCACCTCAGCACGTGTGCCTCGCAGCGGGAGGCGGCGGCCATGACGTCCTCTCTGGCCCACCACCACCATCCCCTGCACCCGCACCACTGGGCGGCAGCCTTCCACCACCTCCCCGCGGCGCTGCTCCAGCCCAACGGACTCCACGCGTCCGAGGCCACGCCTTGCCGCCTCTCCACCGCTTCGGAAGCGCCTCCTGCCCACGGCTCCGCCCTCCTCACGGCCACGTTCGCCCACGCCGACTCCGCCCTTCGGATGCCGGCCACGGGCAGCGCGGCGCCCTGCGTGCCGCCTCTCTCCACCTCCCTCTTGTCCCTGTCCGCCACTGTCCACGCGGCCGCGGCCGCGGCCACCGCAGCGGCGCACAGCTTCCCTCTGTCCTTCGCGGGGGCCTTCCCCATGCTCCCCCCTAACGCAGCTGCAGCCGTGGCAGCCGCCACAGCCGTCAGCCCGCCCTTAACCGCGTCGGCCACGTCCAGCCCGCAGCAGACAAGCGGCGGAACAAACAGTAAACCTTACCGACCCTGGGGGACAGAAGTGGGAGCTTTTTAAGTTTTCACTGAACTTTTTGCGGTGGTAACCGAATGTCCTTCGTTTCCGAGTCAGCTTAAACCTCTGCACCCTGAGAGTAGCCATACAGATGTCTACAGATCCACAAAGGAGCAATAAAGCTATTTGAGACACAAACCTCACAAGTGGAAATGTGGTATTATCTTTTTTCTCTTGTTTTGTTTAGGGCAGCTTGGTAACTGACATCAGCAACTTTTGAAAACTTCACCCTTGTATTCATTTAGAAGTTTCCTGGAAGATATATGGACTGTATCATCCAGCAGTGCATCAGTATGTCTGAATTGGGGAAGGGGGGGCGGAGGGAAGTCCTGACTGGATTCTCTTTAAACTAGATGAAAAAAAAAATTCGTGTTTCATAAGTGCCTGAGCTAGTAAAGTTTTCTTCTGAATATATAACATTGCACAAGTAAAGAGCGTAGAGGTTAGGTTAAGAAAGGAAAGGGACAGAAGTCTTACATTAGGCTGCAGACATTTTAATACAGTGCCAGAGAAGAGTACTGTGTTGAAACCAACAGGTTTTTATTGGCCAAAAGGATTGCTGAAAATAATTTTCAAGTTGAAAGACCCTAGTTTTATCTTAGTTTGCTTTCTTTGTACAGACTTGCCTGCCAAGTGGTGACATTTAGCAATGCATTGGTATAAGCAATTATTCCATCAGTGCTCAGATTAACAACCATTTCTGCCCTGCCTGCAAGCCCCCAGGCACTCTTTTCATGGCTCAAAATATGGTGCTTCTTTATGTAAACCATGCATTTATATAGAGAGTGCACCTAAAAGCAGTTGCCTACCATGTGCCCATTTGATTCATGCCAACTTGAAAATTCTTCAGTTTGTAAAAGTCTAGGTTAATTTATTGTTTCATTTGGACTCTTTTTACATACTTACCCTCTTCATTTCGTCCTGATAATGTGTAATATCTATTCTCGTCACCCTTTGGGAAAAGTTGCATTTCTGGAGGTGATGAGACAGAGATAGAGCATTGGGAAGAGAAAAGCCACGATTTTTAAAAGCTCTTTGTCAAGCTTATGATTGCATTTGATCCCAAATCAAGATGAATGTATGCAATGGGATGTACATAAATTATTTTTGTTCATGCCTAGACTAGTGCTACATAATGGTGTTTTTCTTTTGTTTTTTTTTATTCTGTTTAATGACAAAGTAATCTCTTAATACATTAAAATTGAGTACATGAGATTTTATGTTTGAAAGATAAAGACACAGCATGCATTATTATGCACTTCATTTCTCTGCTGTGTGGAGAAAGCAATAAACATGAGAATGTTAAACATTATGCAAAATTATACTTTTTAAATATTTGTTTAAAATTATTGTACCCAGTCTTTTTTGCATTACTTTGTAACCTTTTTCTATGCAGAAGTCTACATATCACTAATTAAATGAAATCCTTTTTGACTATTTTTATGTGGATGAGTTGCTTTGCAGAATGGAAAGTTGACATGAATTTCAAGCAAGGCCTTCTTACATTAACAGTTTAAGCCATGGCTTTTCTTTTTCTCTTTCAGAGTCATTTAATATAATTAATATAATTCACAGCTTGCCTGAAAATAACATTTATCTGAGCTTGTAAATCAGTTAAGCATAGGCGGGTATGACATTATTGGAGACAGGAAGTGATCAGTTTCCTATGCCTTTTATTCTTAACCATGGTTCTTGGAAAAGTGCAAATATAAGAACTCCAAATAATGGTAAACTGAACCTAGGATAATAAGCTAGAATGTGTCATACATTTTGTAACTCAAAAACGTTTGTAGAGGGTTTTTAAAACATCACATGCATATGTGATAAGCATATACATGCTTCTTGATGATAAATCCTCTGTACCTACCTCAATGAAACTTTCTTTTGATGCTGTAGAAATTATGCACATATCTCTCCCTCTTCAGTGAAGCCTAGAAGAGATTATTTCAGTTCCTGAAGCTTTTGGGCCAAACATAAGAAAAGAATAAAAAAAGAATGTTTTTTATTCATATCAGTTATCCTCACAGTTAAAGGAAAGAGTGCGAGGTTTCTTACATTATTTTAGTTTTGAAAAGTTACATAGTTTTTCTAATTTTTGTCTATAAGTGGTTAAAAAAAAATGAGCAAAAACAGATCACTTTGTTCCTCCTGTCTGTAAGTTCTGTGGTTATTGTATCTTCAATTAGCTCTGATGGAATTAGGTAGTAAATAAGAAAATGAATTTAGTAGTATTTGAAGTTTGCTTTTTAATCATGATTTGTGGACAATAGGCATAGAAATAATTCTTATTTTAAGATCTAATACTGATTCTGTGCCTGTTGTAATGTCAGCATTCAAAGAATTTCTTTTCCTTTTTTGGAATGTAAACCATTTTAGAGATCAGGAATTTTTATTTTTAATTTTGATTAAATATTTTAAGATAAATCCTCTTTCTTCCTCCTTTCCTCCCTTTCTTGTCCTTTTTGTTTTTTCCTTATATTTTTTCCTTCTCAGTTACATATGGGTTGTTATTTTTCCAATTAAATGATTAAAATATTTGCAAAACAAATTGCTACATAGTTGCTAAAGGTTGTCTTAGTTCCTAAAGTTAATTGTTGTCTGTAATTTTGGTCATGTGAATTTGTTTCTTGATAAATGTTTCACATCCTCAGCTGTTAACATCACAGTACACTGTTAAAAAACAAAATGCAACTAAGTAAATTTAAAGACCAAATTGGCTTTATTCAACAATTCATGAATTGGGCAGCATCCCATCTAGCAAATAGAAAGGAGTTGGAAGAAGCCATACGAAATGGAAGGCTTTTATAGGCAGAAGGGGGCTGAAAAAGGAAGTTTGTAACAAAGAGTGGATTGTTTCAGGGAAGGTCACCTTCCTTGGGGGTGGGGGGCCTGTGACACAGATGACCTCACTGGTACTGATGGGTTAATTCCAAATTGACTGGTTAAAGGTCACTGCAATTTGGTTAGATAGTAAGTCTTGGTTTGCTGATGCGGGGCTTGCACAAGTGACTCCATTTTGAGCCTGTTTTTTCTTTTTAACAACTGTTTCCCATCACAGATCCAATGTTTTGTGAAAGTGGGGTCCCACCTTTAGGTGTGATTAATTTTCATGTTTGCTTCCAAAATAGAAAAAAATTAGTTTTTATGGTCCAAGGGGAAAAGAACTTTTAAAGTTTAATTTGTGGGTGGCTTTTATTTATGCCAGAGTTAGTCCCAAAATTAATTCAAGGGATTTTTGGTAGGATAAAAGGAAAAAGGAACATTTTTAGAAATTTCATTTTCCCCAAATGTTAAAAGCTATATGCATACCTAATGTTAAAAAACAAAGGAAACAATTTAGCCAATACAAACAAACTGTAATACTTCATGAAGAAGTCTCCTTTTGGAGAACTGCAAAATAGGGCGGAAGGCAGGGAGATTTTATAGGATAAAGAATAACAAGGAAGAGAAAAATGGAAAATATCTGATTGGCAGGGTTACACAATCAACCTTGTTTAGGGTGAGAAGGCCCAGAGTTGGCCTGGCATTGGGGGATTGGCTAACTGGATATACTGCATTTCTGGTCAAGTGGAACATGTACAGGGACTCAAAAGTTAGCTAAAGTTCCATTTGCTGATATAGCACCTGGGCAGGAGCGGCTCCATCTTGGGCCTAGAAATGTATTTCAGCGCGAATTAAAACACAGTTCTGTATTTCACATCAGTGAACCAGAAGGTATTTATTGAATAACTACCAATTTTAAGTGTGTACATGTTAAGTGTCGAAGGGCATGCAGCAGCACATGCAAACGCGCTTCTACCGCCCGAGAGTGATCGGTATGGCTCACTCTCGCTATTCACAAGGGCCCTCAAAAGAAGGAGGTGCCATGAGAGTGAGGGTTTCTGAGAACTAGCTGGAAAGGCTTGTTGGTCTCTTTGGGATCTTTTGCTACTGCAAATATGGTAATCCTATCATTTGAACAAATCTGAGGGATTTTAAAGTAAGTTGAAACATGAAAAAGGCCAAATATTAACTAGAGTGATGGCCCTAGTGACCCACATGTACATATGTATCATAAATCTTAATGAAGCCTTTTGGATTATCTTCTGTATATAATCATCTCGTTCCTTTTCCAATCATTACATGGATTCAGAGTAAGAGTAATCACCTTAGGTTATCATCACAAAGCAATTTCCTTAAGTGTAAGACTCCATCAGTTGCAAAATACACTATTGGCTTAAGGTCAGTTTTTAAGGAAAAGAACCACCACAACAGAATATTACCTATTGAACATAAGACATCCCAATTTCCAGAGTGTAAAAATGAAAAAAAAAAAAAAAAGGTACATCTTGGATCTGAGGCAATAGTGTAGTATAATAACATATTTCAATGCAATTGTAAAAATCCATGGCTATGGCGTGTCTGGGTTAAGCATCTGCCTTCAGCCCAGGTCACGACCCTGAGGTCCTGCGTCCGGCTCCCTGCTCAGTGGGGAGCCTGCAGCTCCCCCTGCTTGTGTGCTCTCTCTCTCAAATAAATACATAAAATCTTAAAAAAAAAAAAAAAAAAAAAAGTCCAAGACTAGAGATGTATAGAGATTAAAATGTGTCTGACTTAGCTTACTTTAAAAATACCTCATCAAGATAGGGTCCTAGTCAAATTATGAATCTGGGTTGACTTTGTAAGCTTAATGAGCTAAAGATAGATACATTTTTTAAGCTTTTCATGCTTTTATTGCCCAATGGGACTATTCCCAGTTCTGCATTTTGCTGAAGAATGGAGTTTGACTTCCCCTTGTAATTCTTTTAAAATCTAAGCAATAACTGAGGTTGTGAACTGAGCAACTAAAACAAAGGACTACAGCAAATATGACTTCATAAACTGTGACTATAGCTCAAATTCTTTGGAAGGATAAGTCTTTGAACTCAGATGGGAGAATTTAAAAGAAAAAAAAACCCTTAGCTTACACCGATGATCTTGTATGAGAGGCCAGAGGCATATGAGAAATGGTTCCCCAGGTACCAGGTGGTACTTTCTCCCTCCCTTTCAACTTCAAAGGAACAGACAGGAATGGGTTTGGTCAGGGAATTGGGTCCTCTGCTATAACTGAGAACTGGTACCCACCTAAGTCACAGGTCTAATAAAGAAAACATGTTAATACTAACTGCAAATATTGTTCAGTTGTTCTCTGTGCTTAATTCTATGCTAAGTGTTTGAAATCTGTTGTCTCATTTAAGCCTTGTAACCGTCCTATGGAGTGCATATATTATTATCTTTGCTTCGCATATTAGGAATTGGAGAGTAAGAGGTTAATTGCCCAAGGTCACACCTAGCAGTTTGAGCTATGACTCAACGCAGGCTTGTCTGATTCTTCAACCCATACCTTTGAACCTCTAGGCTATGGCTTTTGACACTGCTTTTTCAGACTCAGACTAACCGAGAATATTTCAACCTGCCTGGAATCACTTTGAATTATTGACAAGAGTAAATCTGTCTATCGTATTAGCATAAAAGCCTCTACCATCTTACCCTTTTAATATATGAAAGGATTTTAAAAAAGAATAACCCCACTTTATTCCATCATACAGCATAAAAGGAAATAGTTTTGGCAGTTTTCTAGTTTTAACTTTCAACTTTCAAGCAGGTCATACCTACCTTACCTTAATCAGTGAGCTTGACCCTCAGTAATGGCTACCAAAGAATATCCTATAATCTCATTCAAGGTGGTTGGCAAAAGCAAAGCAAAATGGTGAAGTGTTAAGACGAGGTGCCTGGGGACTCCTGGCTGGCTCAGTTGGAAGATCATGCAACTTTTGATCTTGGGGTTGTGAGTTTGAGCCCATCAAGTGTAGAGATGACTTAAATAAATAAAAACTTAAAAAAAAAAAAGATGAGGTATCTGAGTAAATTGAGTTTGAAAAGAAAATAAAAACCCCCAGTCTCCCACTGGATGTAAAAGAGGTTGTGGATGGGGGGTGGGGTGGGAGAGAATGCTGGATCATTCTGATTACTTATATATTCCAGGTCCATCATGTCATAAAACAATACTCGTCATTTGGCCTAGGAAGACTTGCCCAGTAACCCATCCACTATAACAATTCTTATTATCAGGAAGGGATTTTGAACTAGCCTTAAAGATTTGGCCTACAGTTAAGCATGTTTTCCAAAGCCTTTAACAGTTTATATGTGTATAGTTTTTTAAAAATCTTATAACCAGAGGCATTTTTATATGCCTCTAATTTCTTAGTCTTCGGAGAACTGAATATTCTGTTTCCTTGACCTTGGTTGTCAATCTATTAGTCTGTGGGAGTGAAGAGATTCATACATATGAAATGGATATGCATGTAATAGACTGCCTTCTAAGGTTTTTTGTTGTTGTTTTGTTTTGTTTTTAAGGGATAGAATGAGGTTGAGTATCTTTGGCAAGTTGACTCTAAAGTTTCTTGCATTAAGTGTGCTTTGTAGTTGTAATTGTGTTTTCACAGCAGTGATAACAAAGTCATGTTTTCTCATGTGGAAGAAAAAGTATTTGGAAAGAATGGCTATTAGTCATAATGTCTCACTTGTACAAGTGGGGTGATAAATTTTAAATTGCTCATAAACTCCTAAAACTAAACTGAGTATTTTAACTGAGTTAACCCCTCCTTTTGTGATTATAAGCTATCAAGCTGAATATTATTTACCATACTGTAAAACTCTGCTTCCTAGATCTTTCATCACTTCTTTTTAAACCTTGCCCTTAATTACAGAGAACATAAAGACTTTTTTTTTTTTCACCAAAACAATCCAACTAGCAACTAGCACTTTGTGTAGCTGTTTGTGTCGACTTTCTCCTGGGCCAGCAATGGCTGGCCTCTTCTCTGTTCTAGCCAGTCCACCCCAGAATGCCTGCTTTAAATAGGCTTCCCTTGGGGTCTGGCAAGATGACAGAGATGTGCTCACAGTCAGGAGGGCAAAACACAGAAGGACGTAGACCATATTTTACTCTCGTCATAACACATTTCTCTGTCACAGTCACACGCCACCTCCTAAACAGGAACTAAGCCAGCCACTTTTTTTTTGTCTCACAAGCAGCCCCTGCTAGATTTATTTTGTTGTTTTGAATCGTTCTGTCAGAAAGATAAGCATAGCACAGTAAAAATGGCTGGGTGTAGTAACATCATCAAACCCACATATAGTCTGGTGACCATCAGATGAGGGTACGGCCAAGCTCGGTAGGCAAGCATTACCTCTGATGACAAACACCATTTACTCCTACAGTAAGGAGGCTTGAGGGGCCATTGTGTCCCCTTTCAAGGTTCAGTAAGCACCCCTACCCCAAAGATATCCATAAGTCCATCACAGCTGAATCACTGAGCAGGCTTAAGGCAAATGTGTTGCATCGAAGGAATAGATTCAAACAGCAAGTGCCTCCTGACCATGACCATCATAGGAACGGGTCCAGCAATAAACTGATGAATTATCTGTCCAATGTTGACCAGTTCTCACAACAGAGAACACAATTTCATTTGATGTGAATCATCAAACCTCAAGCATGCTTAAGAGTGGGAGCTACAGACAAAACAACACAGGAGCAATAACTCAATATAAATGTATTTAGCCACGTCTCCAAACAACAAGGTCTGGCAGGCAGCTTCCTTGCTCTGGGTATCAGGAGTTTGAGACAAAAGGAGAAACAAAGTTCACCATTGTTTGTCATCAGGATATGACATAGCGAGAAAAGTGATGGAAGCTATTTGTCTAATTGTTCCTTTTAAATATATAGCTTAAAATTCTGCAAGCGTATCCTTGACTGATACAGCAAAAACATACTGACAAAGAGATGGTTTGCTTAGTAATAGTGCAACTTCACAGCCATATCCAGGATAGTGCATGTTTAATTCATTAAATAAGCAGTTTTGTTTAAGATGTGGGAGCTTATTAAAATTCTTGGTACTTATTCAACAGATCACTTATAAATAACTTGAAATCCGTATTTGTGATTCTAGTAAATTTATCTCTATTTTACTCAATATATATGTCATTTTTAAAAATCTCAACTCTTGGGCGCCTGGGTGGCTCAGTTGGTTAAGCGACTGCCTTCGGCTCAGGTCATGATCCTGGAATCCCGGGATCGAGTCCCGCATCGGGCTCCCTGCTCAGCAGGGAGTCTGCTTCTCCCTCTGACCCTCCTCCCTCTCATGCTCTCTGTCTCTCATTCTCTCTCTCTCAAATAAATAAATAAAATCTTTAAAAAAAAAAGATTAAAAAAAAATCTCAACTCTTCAAGACATATAATAAATAGTATAATGACTGAAAGGACAAGTTCTGAAATCAGATCAAGATACATCTTGAGATGCATTAACTGTGTGAGTTTGAACAAATTACTGAATCTGTGTAAGCTTTGTTTTTTAATTAGTAAAATAGGATTAAAAAACAACACCTATCTCACAAGAATTTTCTGAGGATTAAGTGAGATAATGTTCGTAAGATTTGGTACATAGTACACTATCAATAAATGGTAGTGTAGCTTATTCAAATTTAGTTTATTGAAAATGTCTTAAGATCCAGAATAAGTCTCATACAGTCCCATTCACACACCTTTATTCAAATTCATACCAAGGTATTTCCCCAACACCTGTTCTCTTTACATTACATTATTTGCCTGTACATTTTGCTTTATATAAATAAATTTTCAGATTTCCAAAATTTCAGAGTTAGAAGAATATAACCTAGACCAGTGCTTCATTTTACAGAAGAAGAAAACTGAGGCCCAACCAAATTAGATCATCTTTCTCACAGTCATGTGACCCAGATCTCCTGATTTCTAATACATGGTTCTTTCTGAGACAACAGGATTATAAACATTTTCTTTCATACCTTTTATATTTTAGATGCCAAGGCTTTTTATTTTGTTGTGGATGAGCTGAATAGATCTATTGGTTGGTTAAGAAATCATCCTTTATGTTTCCTATCTTCAAAAGCAATGGTTTTTAGACTGATTCAAAATAAATACAACGGAGTCATGTCTCTTTAGAAGACAAATCTTGAATCTAATGAATACGACTGAGAATGAAATTATCCTACTGTCTTTAAATGATGTCCTTCACCATCAAAAAGCAAATCACACATACATCGGTGAACAGAGTTGTGCCACTCTCTAGTACCTAAGGCAGAATCTTTCCTAGACGCTGATAAAGCTGCAGATTTACCAGTGACAGGGCATGGGCTTTAAGCCGCTGTTGCACCTGCTTTCCTCTGTGGCTCGCCCCATGCTCTCAGTATGAAGACAAAATCCTTAACCTCAGGCTAAGAGCCACGCAAGATCTGTCTCCTGTCCACTTCTTAGACCTCTCCTCACCTTGCTCTACCACCTTGGACTTGCCATCCAGCCATTCGGGCTTTCTTTCAGCCCCTGGTAATCTCCTTGCTCTCTCCTGCTACCAGCATTTGCACATTTTCCTTCTACTTAGAATGTTCTTTTCTCTCCTTTTTACCCAGGTAACTCACCTTCATTTTTCAGATCTCAACAGATGGATCCCTCCGCAGACATCTCCAACTGATTCAAAACCTTAGTGTGGAATCACATACTTCTCCTTACAGAATCTGTCAGTTGCAATTTAAATTTGTAAGGATATGATTATTACCTGTTTCTACCACTATGCGAAAAGCAAATGATAGTGACTATGTTTTTGCTCATGTTAAGTCTCCAGGGCCTCTTTGACTTACGTCTGGTACAGAAAGAAACAACAAATATTTGCAGATACTGGTTAAATGAATGACTATATGAGTGCATAACTGAATGAGAAATGAATGAATAAATGTCACAAGCTGGACCTGCGTAATTGTTGCGTTGGATTTATTTGAATTGCTTCCTTCAACCTTTAATCTGGTAACACAGAATACATGCAAGTAAAATCAAGCACAATTGATGAAATGAGAAGAAAGAAGGTAAAAGAATAAAAATATCCTCTGCTGCTCCCTATGAATACAATAAACTCTAGATTTTAACTATATTCAACATTTCCAAGGCAAGTGGATTAAATGTTTCTGAATGAGACACATGCGTCTATGATGCCACCTTGTGGTTTATTTCCGCATGTCACTTTCAAAATCCTGGAACTTCCCTACTTTAGAAAAGCACCATTATTAAAAAAACAAAACAAAACAAAACAAAAAAACAGAAAAGCACCATTATAAACTATGACTACTGAGGAGTGAGATTTTGCTCAACTAAATATTGCTGGCATGCCATCATCCCAAAGAGTTTGCCCAAACATATCATTCATTCCTTTTTGTTTTTTAATTAAATATCGAACTGGTGGAGAAAAATAGTATAATATGTTATAAATAATCAAATGAGAATTAACAACTGTGTACACCCAGGCTAGCATTTTTCTTGCATGTTTCTTGCCAAATCCTTCCTCTCTCTTTTCTATCAACCAGGAATAACCACTTTGCTTTTCTTTATAGTTCGCCATCTGTGTATATATTTACCAATGAACAACATTTTTAATTTAGCGTTTTAAAACTTCAAATAAAATGGAATCATTCTGCATTCGATTTGCTTTTAAATCATATTTTTCTGGATTCATAATGTTAGTAAGAGGAGCTGTAATCCATTTATTTTCCCTAAGCTGCAGTATTTCATTGCATGACTAAACCACAATATATTTAGCCACTCTACTCTTTTTTTTTTAAGATTTTATTTATTTATTTATTTGAGAGAGAGAGAGCATGAGAGAGGGGAGGGTCAGAGGGAGAAGAAGATCCCCCGCTGAGCGGGGAGCCCAACATGGGACTCGATCCCAGGACTCCAGGATCATGACCTGAGCCGAAGGCAGTTGCTTAACCAACTGAGCCACCCAGGCGCCCTAGCTACTCTACTCTTGATGGACATTTAGGTTGCTTCCAGTTTGGGTCTATTATGACAGTGCTGCAATAAACATTCTGTGTATCTCCCGGTGCACCTGTGCAGGGATTTCTCAGGGTTTGAGTTGCTGGGTATGGGAAACTCCAACTTTACTGGATAACACCATATTGTTTTCCAAAGTTATCGCACCAATTTACACTTCCACCATTAGCGTGTAAGAGTGCCATTGTTCTACATCCTTGTCAACACTTGGTATTAGATTTTTTTCACTTTTGCCACTTTGTGGGTATGAACAGAATCTTTTAAATTTTATTTTATTTTTTAAGATTTTTTATTTATTTATTTGACACAGAGAGAGAGAAACAGCGAAAGAGGGAACACAAGCAGGGGGAGTGGGAGAGGGAGAAGCAGGCTTCCCTCCATGCAGGAAGCCCGATGCGGGGCTCGATCCTAGGACCCCGGCATCATGACCTGAGCCGAAGGCAGACGCCCAACGACTGAACCACCCAGGTGCCCCAGGATCTTTTAAATTTTAATTTGCATTTCCTAATCACAAAAGAAGTTGATACTCTTTTAAAAAAATTTACTGGTCACATATGTTTCTTCGGAGAAGTGCCAATTCCAGTCTTGCCTCATTCTCTCATTTATCCACTCAAGAGTCATTTGAGTTGCTCCTAGGTGCCAAGTACCGACATAACCTAGAGGATACAAAGAGGAAGGTGATACAGACGTTGCCTTCATGGAGCTCTTGGCTTACTACCACGTTAGTGCCCTCAGGCATCATACTAATTATCAAGACCAAAAACAGCAAGAATTTTTGGCCACCAATGATATGACTATCACTTTATAAGGCAGAAGAAGTATATTTTATGAACTCTGACATCTAGGAATTTACAAAAACATAACTTACACAAAACTATAGCAAGTTATATAAACTACTATATATTATGTGATATATATTATAGAAATTCAGAGGATGTAATAAGCTGGTAAAAAAGCTAATCAAGTAGGTCCGTGGCTTAAATTTAAATTGCTTTCCTTTTATGTAACTAATGTAAAAATATTATTTTTCTATAGCCTACCTATTAAAGGAAGAAGATAAAAAACCAAGAATCATTTTTAAGTCAATAAAGTAATAATGATCAAATGGAGTTGTGGTAAAGATGATTTTTAAATAAAATCGCACTGAAGGAAAAAAAAAAACACTTTCACAAATCAACATGCTTATCCATAAATGCAAGTACACTGTGTTTGCTGTTGAACTTATTTCTTAACTAAAAGTCTTCCGCGGTGCCTGGGTGGTGCAGTTGGTCAAGCATCTGACTCTTGGTTTCAGCTCAGGTCATGATCTCAAGGTCCTGGGATAGAGCCTGGCTTTCAGCTGTGTTCAGCGTGGGGTCAGCTTGAAATTCTCTCTCTCCCTCCCCTTTTGTCCCTCCTGCTCTTGCTGTCTGTCTCTCTCTCTCAAACAAACAAATAAAAAGAATAAATGTTTTCCACATGTTTCTATGGAATCTGGTAACCCCCAAAACTACTACAGTTGACTTTTACTAAACTTGTCATGCATAGAATTCAATTATACCTTTAAAAGAGAACCTGCAATGTCATATAATTCCTCTTTACTTCTATGCAACACTCCCTATGAGCCATCCGATTTGTAAAGACTGCTTTAAAGAAGATGCCAATGTGGCACCAGAAAATTTGTTGTAGTGTGGGGAGTCTTAAAGAATATCAGATTTAGGTTGGGCAAATCAGGTTGGAATCCTGGTTCCCCCACATACTTGTGTGATTGCAGATAGGTTAAATAAACTTTCTGAGTCTGTTTCCAAAACAAGGATAATTGTTGTACAAATTGATTTGATTATTGTAGATAAAGTGCTTAGTTCGGTGTTCAGAATCTGAAAGAACTCATTAAGTTGTAGACATTATTCAAATTGACTCAGTGTAATTCTTTTTCCACTTCTTTCAGTGGAAATGTAGAGCTGTGGATCATAAAAAAATAGAATTACGAGGGCTGAACATGTATATGATTGTTTGCAAGTGAAGTCTTAGCAATCTACTTCTTGATTTAATTGATTAAGTAATCCATTAATACAGCACCAACTATAAAGTCCTCCCCTTCCTTCCTCTCCACCCTTGGTTCCTCTCCACCACCTTAATATTCAATTATGCATCACCCTAACCCTGGATATATGAGGATTTTGTGTTTAAATGAAATAACTTGACAAGTTCAGAAAAATGTTTTTGATAGGCAGCAAATAACCTTTGCTTTCATCTGTGCTGGTTAAATACTTTCTAGTCCTTCATCTTTAAGGAAACTCCTCATATGTGGGCTATTTCTGCAAACAGTCCTTCAGCATTTCCCCCTTTTTCTTTTTCTTTTTTTTTTTAATTTTATTTATTTATTTGAGACAGAGAGAATGAGAGGGAGGAGGGTCAGGGGGAGAGGCAGACTCCCTGCCGAGCAGGGAGCCCGATGCGGGACTCCAGGATCATGACCTGAGCCGAAGGCAGTCGCCTAACCAACTGAGCCACCCAGGCGCCCCCCTTTTTCATAAGTACGGAGCTGAGCACAATATTCCGGCTCTACAGAGCAGCAGCTTTGTGCTGTGTGTAGGGAATGTGATAAAGTACTGCTGTGTCTAAATGACAATATTATTTAGGAAAAGTGTACTTATTTGATTAAAAATAGCCATAGTATAGGTGAAACAATAAGGATGACACCAAGACTAAAGAAAATAAAACGCCATTAAAAAATTAAGCAGGGCGCCTGGGTGGCTCAGTTGGTTAAGCGACTGCCTTCGGCTCAGGTCATGATCCTGGAGTCCCTGGATCGAGTCCCGCATCGGGTTCCCTGCTCGGCAGGGAGCCTGCTTCTGCCTCTGACCCTCCCCCCTCTCATGTGCTCTCTCTCTCTCATTCTCTCTCTCTCAAATAAATAAATTAAAAAAAAAAAAATTAAGCAAACAAGAAAAATATCCGTTATGCTATTAATGGGTACACTGCAATTTCTTTTTTTTTTTTTTTTTAAGATTTTATTTATTTGAGAGAATGAGAGACAGAGAGCACGAGAGGGAAGAGGGCAGAGAGGGGAAGCAGACCCCCCGCTGAGCAGGGAGCCCAATGTGGGACTCAATCCCGGGACTCCAGGATCATGACCTGAGCCGAAGGCAGTCGCTTAAGCAACTGAGCCACCCAGGCACCTCTACACTGCAATTTCTAGACTCTTTCTTCTTTGGCTTCTTTGACCCTGACTTAGACTGACTCTTGTCCTTCAGACTTTCCTACTTTGTCCTCCTACAGTGGAAGTCAAGCCTGCAAACCTTGCCTCTTTATGCTGCACTCAATCTCTTAGGAAGCATTTCTACTCTTGGGCCTTCAGTTCTCACTTCAAAGCATAATCTCCTCCAAATCTATCATTATTAGTCAAAAATTTCACTCCATATGTACAGGATAAGTTCACTTGGATGACCTCTTCAAACCAAATCTTAATGTAACCCAGCTTCCTGCTTTACCACGCTCCCAATCAGCACCCTTTCCAAATTAACAGGCCATATTCAAAACCGTAATCGTGTTCTCCTTTGACTTTCTACACAACTGTGAGAGGCAGTTTTATTTGCCCCTTCACGTGCTGGGGGCCAAGGCTTTCTTCGCTCTACTTCTGGATATTTCTGTTGTAATTCTGTACAGAGGACCTGGTCGGCCCAGGGTAGGGGTGTTTGCTCTAACTTCTATGCTTTGCTTCTCCTTCCACAACGTTCTTGTTCAGTAAATCTAGTTTATTTAAGGTGACATGCACTGGAACAGGAAGTGTCCCCCATCTCCCCACTCACCACTCTCCTTACTGTCTTTCCTCTTTACCCACCTTCCTCTCTATCCAGGCCTCCCCTGCATGTCTCACAGGACCTCCACCTTTCACTTTGTTCCCTTCCAACTCTCCAGTCCCAATCTGGGTAAAGCGTCTTACCAGGTGCTCCAGCAGGAGGAACCCAATGTTTACATTCTCTTCGGTGCCAACAACCCGTAGGATGCTTTGAGGAACAGGAAAAGAACCTGCTGCTGTACCTGGGGGGAAAAGAAGGCGTATTTTAAATCCTAGATTAAATAACATTTAAAGACGAATTCAACTTTTATGAGTGAATAAAATAAATATGATTTTTTAAAAAAAAGCAGGTAAGAATTCAAGATTTTTAGGAGGTAGGATAAAACTTTTTCCCTGACCGGGAATCGAACCCGGGCCGCGGCGGTGAGAGCGCCGAATCCTAACCACTAGACCACCAGGGAAGCTGACTGCCGTCTTCCCTGAAGCTTATTTGCCACTTAAAAAAAATCTCTACGTAGACCTGACCAGTAGAAAGAGAGTTTGTTGGTTCTAAGCCCCACCCACTTCGTTCCTGTTTTGAGTCGCAGTCTCCTAAACTGAGGCAAATTTTGGGCGCTCCCAGCCCAGCACCCAGGTGGCTCCTGTGGGGAAATCCTGGACCCTCCAAATCCAATCCTCTTCCGACTGCCCTGCTAGAAAAGACTAATTACGTAATTCATTCTAATTATGTAACATAAATATCTATATCTATAGAAATGTTAGAGAGTACTGCCCGGAAGCTTGTCATTTGCTTTGTTATTTTTTTAATCATCTAGCTGCTCTTTCTAAATCTAACCTCTGTCTCTGACTCTTCCTCTCACGCAGATGTTAAGTCCCACTAAACCTTGTATTAAATCTAGATAGATTGTCACCGGCGGAGAGCATTGCACGTTGCAGAGCTGGGTGTGACACCGCACACGTCCCTGGCAGGCGGCGCAGGCTCTCTGTGGGTGATGAAGGGCCACGTGGCCTTCTAGAACCCGATTATGTATCTATCGTGATGATTACTTACTGAGCCAGGCTAACGAAGCTGAGAGTTGTGGGTGACGTGCCTAGTGAAGCACTGCGGAGATCATCTGCACCCGGATCCGAGGAAACCCTTCAAACCCACTGCGTTTCCATTATGCTCATATTTTGTAAGTGTTATTAACCGGGCAATCGCTTCACGTCTCCGCGTTCTGTGCGAGACACGGCCGGGAAATGATGCAATTACCAGAGGAGTAAGAAACCTTACCGCCCAGCCTCGATTCAGAAATCCTCGTGAAATAGGAGCAGAAGGCAACAGGATGTAACTGCGCTTTGAAGTGCCAACCGTTCCAGCAGAGCAAATGTAACCCAAGAGACCCAGCTCCGCTGCAAGATGGAAGGAGGCTTAAGTAACACAGATATAAATTCGTAATGAACTTGGTCACAACCCCCGGCGCCACTGTGAGTTCCAGCGGTCATCCATCACCGTAGAATTTAGGTGAGCCTCTGCTTGAATATTGTTTCTTGTTTTCGGCAACCCAGAGACGGTTTAGATTATTGATAACATTTGTCTAAAATTGTTTAATAATATACAGGCAGGAAGATTAAACGGATTTTTAAAGACTGACAAAGATGGAAAAATCACGAGAAATTTCTAAACTTAATTATATTTTAGATAGGACTCATGCTTCTTTCCTCTATCAAGGAATTCTTAGGAAATCAGGTTCAGTAGGTGGAGCTCTTTCCTCTGAATTGCGGGTTACCAGGGCTAAGTAGCAAAGGATCTGGTTTTGAATACAAAGATAAAACAGATATTATTTTTAGAATAATTTCAAATTTTAATAGGCTTAGTCACAATATGCTACAAAAGGATAGAAAGGTACAGTAAACACCACCATCCCTCTCTTTTCCCCAGTCACTGATTTCTTCTTCCCAGAGGTAACCAGTGTTAACAGTTTCTTCTGTATCCTAGAAACAGTCTATGCATATACAACTAATATCTATTTCTCCTTTTTCCAGCTTTTTATCTTGAAAAATTCCAAACCTGCAGAAAATTCCAAGTGTAGGAAAATGAACACACATATACCCTTCATCTGAACCTGTGCTGTCCAATTTAGTAAGACCAGCCCATGTGACTATTGTGCATTGAAATGCAGCTAGCACAAACTTAGATGTTCTACAGTTGATGACTGCCTACTGGTTTTTTAAGCCTTAATATAGGGGAAAAAGTAAAATATCTCAATAATTTTTACATTGATTACATTTTTAAATTAGAAATATATTGGGTTGGGGCGCCTAGGTGGCTCATTCGGTTGAGCACGGGACTCTTGATTTCAGCTGAGTTCATGACCTCAGGGTGGTGAGATCCAGCCCTTTGCCCTGCTCCACACTAGGTGTGGAGTTGGCTTGGGATTCTCTTTCTCCCTCTCCCTGTGCCCCTCCACACCACTTAGGTGCATGCTCTCTTTCTAAAAAATTTTTTAAAAGAAACATATTGGGCTAAAATATTATTAAAATTTATTTCACTTTCTTTTCACTTTTTAAGGTAACCACTAGAATATTTAAAATTATATATGTGCCTTGCATTATATTTCTATTTTACAGTACCGAACTAGATTCACCAGTTGTTAATATTTTGCCATATTTGCTTTCTCTTCGTCTTTCTTCTGAAGCATTTTGGGTTAGTTGCAGACATCATAATACTTTACCTTTAAATACTTTTCTCCTATATTTCCTAAGAACAAGCAAAACAATTATCACACTTAGGTAATTTAAATTTAATGCAATATTATTAATTATACAGTTAAAAATAAAATGTTTCAATTGTCATAATAACACTTCTTATACTTTTTCTTTTTACCCAGGATCTACTCAAGGATTATACAATGCATTTAGTTGTCATGTTTCTTTAGTCTCTTTCCTTTATTCTGGAACAATTCCTCGATTTTTTTTTTAACAATATTGATCTTTTTGAATAGTGAAAGACTGTTGTTTCAGAACTGAATTTATCAACTCAGATAAATATCTCTTTTGACAAGAAAAGAACCTTAAGTGATGTGTCCTTCTCAGTGCATTACATCAGAATGTGCATGATGCTAATGTATCACATTATCTCTCATGGCCAATGTTGTAGGCAGAATAATGGCCCCCATGGGGATGTCCCTGTCCTAATCTCCAGAACACACGAGTATGTTACTTCACATGGCAATAGGAATTTTGCAGATGTGATTAAGGATTTCAAGACACAGGAAATTATCCTGGATTATCTGAGTGGGCCCAAAATTATAACAAGGGTCTTTATAAGTGAAGGAGAGAAGCAGGAGAGTTAGTGTCCCAGTGATGTGATCCGAGGAAAACTCAACCTACCTTTGCTCGTTTTGAAGAAGGGGAAGGGGACCCTGAGCTGAGGAATCCAGGTGGCCTCTGGAAGCTGAAAAAGGCAAGGAAAGGGATTCTTCCCTAGAGCCTCCAGAAAGAAAACAGCCCTGCCAACACCCAGATTTTAGGCTAGTGAGACCCAAAGTCAGACTTCCGGATTACAGAACTGTAAGATAATAAATTCGTGTTGTTTTTAAGCCATTAAGTTTGTGCTAATTTTTTACAGCAGCTATAGGAAACATATAGTAAATTCGAGCATTTGGTTAAGGTGTCCACCATACCTTGAGAATGTATGAATCTTCTGTTCCTCAGCAAACTTTCACCCACTGACAATCTTTGCTTGAATCAATTATTACCATGGTGATTGCAAGATGGTGTTATTTTAATTTTATCATTCTCATGTAAACAACTTCCCTTTCTCTCCTTTCTCTTTTTATTCTCTATTTAATTTTTAAATATAGTTTGGACTCATATTCTTTTTCTGTTTTTATTCAATGTGTAATAATCCACCACTGTCATTTTTCTTAGTAATTGTCCCAAATTTGGCCAGAGGGGTCCTTTTAAGTTGGCTCCTGTATTCTTTTGATATGTCTCCCTAATTTTTGAGCACTTCTTTACCTTCTGTTATAAGATAGTGTGGCACACCCTGTACTTTATAGATTGACTTAGAGAGAATTAAGATCTTTATGCCTATATCTTTTTTTTCATTTCTTTGTTTTATTTTTACACAAAGAGGGACATACTCTACATACTTTTTCTAATTTTTTAAAATTAATATCTTTTAAAGGATGTCCATTCTTTACATAAAAAGTTTTCTCATTACTTTTGATAAGTACATAGTATTCCACTATTTAGGTATTTTATTAAAGCAGTTTCATATCAGTCACTTAGATTATTTCCAATCTTTTGCTTTTACCAAAGTACTAATATGAATAACTTGGCCCAACATAACTTAGCATTTAGTTTTTACAAATTTGCTCCAAAATGACTCAACTTATAGAGTGCCAATTTCTAATTTGAAAATATTGTTATACATTGGAAGAAAATTCATTGCATCCAATTCAAATTCACTTATAATTTATTGATAGTTTTATTTTTCAATTTGATTTCAGTCTGACTCAGCTATTCTTTTGTTCATTAATTTGTTCATTTATTAAACAAATATTTATTGACTAATATATGTCAAGGACTATATTAGGCACCAAAGACATCAAGATGAACAAAATGGAGTCCTGACCTTGAAGTTTAGTCTGGTGGGGTTCAAGTAAGTAAGGAACAACAGTAAAATAGTGGATATTAAGAGACATGTAGGACTATACTTTAACATATTTATTTAATAGATTAAAATGTGCCACTCATCATGCATACTTTACTGATGGGAATATAAAATGGTACAGCTATTCTGGAAAATAATTTGGCTGTTTGTTATAAAACTAAACATGCACTTACCATCTGACCCATCACTTGTACTCTTGAGAACTTACCCCAGAGGATTGAAAACTTACGTTCACACAAAATCTGTCCACAAATGTTTACAGCAGCTTTTTTATAACAGCCCCAAACTGGAAACCACAGAAATATCCTTCAGGGGGTGAATGCTTAAACTGTGGTATATCCATACCATGGAATATTTATCAAAAAAGGGAACAAACCATTGATCCACATAACAACTTGGATGGATCCCAAGGGACTATGAAAAAGCCAATCCAAAAGGTTATACAGTATGATTCCCTTTGTATAGCATTTTTTAAATTATAGAAATGAGAAGGAATTTGTGATTTGCAGGAATTAGAGATGTGGTGGGGAGGAAGATGGATGCAACTATAATGGGGCAGGTCATGGGAGCTTTATGGTAATAGAACAGTCCTGTGTCTTATTGGGGTGGTAGTAGAATAATCTGTACAGATGATAAAATTGTATAGGACACACAAATACTTAAAAAAGAGTGTATGTAAAACTGATGAAATATAACTAAGCTTGAAAGAGCATACCAATGTCATTTTTCTGGTTTTGATATTAGTGGAGTTACCCAAAATGTTACCATGGGGACAACTGGGGCAGTGGGGGTGGGGGGACCTGAGACTTCCCTATATATATATTTTTGCAACTTTTTGTGGATCTATAATTATGTCCTTTGAAAAAAACCCTTTTCAGCTTATTGCACTGTAAATTTCTTTCATCTAATAAATCCAAGCAACAACTACCAGTTCAGTTTAGGGGTTCATTTCAGAATTTTAAATTATATCTTAGCTACAGTGTCTTTGTACCTGCTTATTTGACTAAGTTTTCCAGAAAATTTAGAAAATATGTAATGAATTCTCAAGCTACTGAACAGACTTTTCAGCAGAAATAAAACAGTGGAAACTCTCCAAGAACAGGGAACTTTTCAATGAACTGTGAATAATAAAAGAAAAGGACAAATTTATTGGGCTTAATCTAAATAATCAGCCATTAGTTCTACGTGTTGACTGGCACGCAGACAGCAATCTGTTTCTATAGACGTCAGTATTTCTTTCTCAATACACTCCGGCAGCCTCCTCCTTTCTGATGACAAGGAGATTTCTACCTCCTCCTCAGACTTTATAACTAACTGAGAGAAGCACTAACAATAGGCCCATCCACAAAAGGACCTATTTACATTTTTCTCAGAATTCAAGGGTTATCTATAATGTGCTGGCTCAATGATAGCAGCTGTAAAAATGAACCACTATTAAATAGTGAACTCAATTCTGTCAGGTCCTCAATTCTTTAGGTCCAAGATGGCTACCCACAAGCCTCCATAGATGTCATTAGCATTTACCT